TAAACCAAGTAATATCGATTGCTTTCTCCAGTGTCAGTTGCTTCATAATTTTGAGAATAACTTTCAGAAATTGTTTGTTGTGATATGAACGAAATATTTTTTAATAGAATGATATATACAGATTGTCGTGTGTAAGAGGATTGTTGTATTGCTGTAAAGGCAACTGAAGCTTTGTAAATGTAGAATTCGTATAAAGTTCCTGTATAGGCAAAGAATTTAATAAATCATACTGGCCATAACGAGTAAAAACAATCTATTGATTAGTGACTTGCTGCGAAGTACTTCTTGCGCTGCTGGTTGATTCGACGGTGATAATTATTGATTGAATTATGCATTCATCTTGTACGTGCAGCTTGTGTTACAAAGCAGATAAGTACAAAGAGAGGCATTCACGTAACTGATATTTCCAGACAGAACATATAATAGAACGGTCTACAGGAAAGTACGTTGTCTGCAATGTGTGCGGATTAAATTGTATATTTAGATACTTCTACATGAGTGCTTACAAGAAATAATACTAGAGAGAGGAAACACATGATAATTTGTACGTATAGAGCCTGCATTTGTGCGACTCAGGCAAAACTGCTAGTCTCGTTTAGATCGTTGAAGCGTACGAATGTAGCACTGAACTTGCGTTTTTAATACGGACAGGCTATTGTAACACTGATCACAAATGTATCGTGAAAGTAAAAATGAAGACCAAAATATATATTTTCTAAATCAAGATGTTAATGTGTGCAATTACACGTGTGCGGCGCGATATTTCCACGACATGAACCGATTCTCGCGCTTGTATTTGAAGCGGATAGCGGCCGTGTGGTGAAGTATTATAGTAGAATGATACGATTCCGAAATATGATCGGAGATCGCGTTAAGTGGACTGTATGATTCGATAAATTTGTTAGTGTACCATATCCGTGATAGTGCGCTAGGACATTTTGTCAACATGAAAAACGGAGAAGCCGTTATCGTTGTATAAATAGAATAATTGAAGAGAAGAAGGAGCATTTACAAGTTATTAAATGAGAAGTTTCCTTCCGAGCGGTTCCATCACGAAAACCTCAAGTAATTCCAACAGGAATATATAATATGAATTTATTTAATATCATTGATAATACAAAAGCTATTGATTGACGATAATTATTACACACCGAATAATTCAACTGTTGTAGAATTTAGATATTCAATTATTATGTAACAATTGATTTTATTTTCTAATACATTATTACAAAGCCTTGTATTGTGATTTTATTCGTAAGAAACACACACCATTACATATTATTACACGTTACATACAGTATCTGAGAATAATATTCATATAGAAAGTGTTTATTCTGAATCATTTTCAACCACAACGCGCAAAGCGGTGAAGATGGAGAAAACATTAGATAAATACTGAAATATTGTCAGCTTGTTATTCACATATTATCTTTGATAATCATTTATTAATTAAAGAGGTTGCAGCTATAAATAACTAGCTCCTTTATATTGTAATTTGATTAAGTAAAAGAAGTAATTTAAAAAACGAATTGTTTTAAACATGTTCTATATATATATATATTGTCAACATTACACGGTATACTATAAATCAATATTATTAAAAAAAAAAAAAATAAAAATGTGAAAAATATTTTCTTTCAGACAAAATAATACCGTAATGTATGTAGCGAAACAAAGGTAGTAATAAATTAGGAATTAATAATTCTAAAGATAAAATTAGTCAACAAATACAGTACTACACAAATAAATATAAGTTTCGATCAATTGTTCTTTTGGATATTTACTGGTTAAGCTTGATTTTTTTAATTATTTACGAAAAGTTGTCATTGAAATACGTTGTCGCACGATTCTAAACAATTTTTTTTTTGTACATGTATTTAAAATCGTTACTTGGTTTTATTTCTAAAACATTTGCTAAAATATACTGTATTAGTTATTTTTTTTCTGCCCTTCCTTCCGAGGGCATTCGTTGACGATTAAAGATTTTAACTGGTAAAAATATGGCACTATTCCGTCTCTTAGAGAAGTAGAGTATCTTCTATGAAGAATTTCTCCACGTAAAGAAAAAAAAAGAAAAAAATATCTGATGAAAGCAAAGAGAGTGGCAGAAACCTACGGTTTTACTTTATAATATAAGATTTTTGGTTGCGAAATAAAGTTATTATTTTGACTATATTAAATAAAGTTATTATCTAGAGTCATCGGACGAATCGAATTATCATATATTGTAAACGTACATATATTATGATGTGAAAGCATGGATTGGAGAGGAGGGATTGTCCACTTTCTCCTTTGCAATTCTTACCTATTTGATCTAAATCTATTTCAAACCGATACAATAAATTTTTGCAGATATCTTTTTGTGAAAATGAAATCCAAGCGTCGGTTACGTGTATAGTACAATTATTTCGAAAAGAAAGAGTTTTCGAGTTTATGTTTGTAGATTATCAAGCCTATTTTACTTTTTAGAAAGAGTAGAATTTAGAGAGTAGAAGAGACAATACTGATCTTTATTTTCGTGACGTTGTCTATATAATAAAGATAACATACATGTACGAAATAGAGCTATTTCCTTATTACTGCAATTTCTTCTATTTGACTGAGGATTTGCCTTACCGAACAATAATAACGTAAAGAAAGCTCCGGTATTATGCATTTGACAGAGAGAGTTATTGGTTTTTGATATATCAGCACGGTCAGCAAGTCCTTTTGCATCTTCAACGTCTGTTTATACCACGTCATATCGTATGCACTCCAAGAAATATGTATACTCTAAAAAATATAAAAAATTGATCACTTTCGCGAGGTAGTAACATTATATTATTTCGATATTATTTCTGAAACACTATGTCTTGTTTTTACATTATTAACATCTGCATCTTCAGTTGTTAACAATTGTAAAAACAGGTTTGACTCTTTAGAAATCTTTTCAAAAGTTAAAACATTTTATTAGAAATAAACATATATCACCGTATGTAATAGTATGATTTTCAATAAGCTAATCATTATATTTAACAACCAATATTTCTGTTTTAAATAACTGGAATTTCAAGTGGGATCCATATGTCGTGACACACCCATTTTATTATATATACTCTAACTTATAGTAAGGAACTATAATTAAGACTATAATCTCTTATGTAACAAAAATGTCTAAAATTAATTAGTTTTAAACGAAAAAAGTAATCTCTTTGAAGATAATAAAAAATTTACCATATCTTTCATATAATCGGCTGGCCACGTATATATATAAATTTCGGTGAGTACAGTGAAAGATACAACTATAAATTGCATTTTCACAATTAGTGGAGTGTCCTATACATAAACTATATATATATTAGTTTGTTACCGTATATACGAAATATATGTGTTTCACTTACCATGAGTAAGATAATGCCACATAAAGTAAGAATAAACGTGCTTACTCCTACAGCATAAAGTACTATAAAACGAAAAATACCAACTACTTCTTCTGCATACCTAGAAAGAAGTACTTGCAAGGAATTTGAATGTAACCTGTTCCGCCACAGGTTATAAAATAAAATATCACTCTTTACCTCTTCAAATGTAATTGTTTTTTAACGCAAACAATCAGCATACTAGTATTTGTAATTTCTCTCATTTCAATGGCCAGACACTCGAATCTTGCCGCCGTGAACCAAAGTAAAAGCGCTCCAAACATGCTTAGACACATATGTGCAGCGCACTGATAGCTGACGATAGACTGTTGCACATATATGATAACATACACTGGCGTATCATTAACGCGAAATGGATATTCCGCGTCGCATGGGAAGGGAACTGGCATGAATATAGGTCCTATTAAAAATGCAGTCGAGGTGATGTATACACATACCATGGAGCTTCCAAAAAAGATGCTGGATTTTGCGATAAGCTTGTTATAAATTTCCTTTTCATATTGTTGCGCCTCTTTAACACAGTTCAACATCTCCTCGACCACGTACTGTAACCCGTTAGTTAAAGCATACACATCCTTACCGTCAAACGTACAAGAAAATGAGACTGAAAGCTTACTTGTAGGGAATCGTGATTGATCATACATATGGTGGTCTGAATCACAAGTTGGCTTATACCTATAAATAGGCAGATGCATTCGGAAACAATGAGTATATCGTCTGAATGCAAATAAATCGAATACATCAGAGCCAGGAGCACCGTGCAAGCACTGATAACACTACAGAGTTGCAGAATTTTGTAGCAAACGATTCGTGCTATGCTGCTGCTACTAGGAAGCGGCCAACAAAAAGATAGAACTACGCCAAACCAAACGATATCGATAGCTTTCTCCGGTGTTAGTTGCTTCATCATAATTTTGAGAAACTGTTCGTTGCCTACGAACGAAATGAAGTTTAATCGGTGCGGTAGAACGATGTGTGCAGATTGTTGAGCGCGAGAGCATTGTTACATTGCTGCGGAAACAACTGAAGCTTCATTGATGTGGAATCTGTATAAAATAATCACCCCCTATACGAAGAATTTAATAAGTCATACTGGGGATAAAATCGTACTGCGGTCTAAGTACAAACTATTGATTAGTGATTTGCCGCGAAGTATTCCTTGCGCTGCTGGTTGATTCGACGTTGATAATTATTGATTGAATTATACATACGTATAATCTTGTACGTATGCAGCTTGTGTTATAAAGCAGGTAAGTATAAAGAAAGGGAGGCATTCACCCAACCGAAGCTAATGTTTATGGACATAACATATAATAGAACGGTCTGTAGAAAAGTATATTGTACATGTGTGTGCATTAAGTTGAACGTTAGACATTTCCGTACGAGAAGTAATACTAGAGAGAAAGAACACATGATAATTTGTGCGTATAGGATCTGCATTTGTGCAGACTCAACAAGACTGCTAGTCACGTTTAAATCGTCGAAGCCTGTGGATGTAGCAGTCTTGCGTTTCTATTATAAATCGACTATTGTAAGGCTGGTTACAAATCATATCGTGAAAATAAAAGTAGAGAACAGAATATATATTTTTTAAATCAAAATGTCAAAGTGTACAGTTACAAGTGTTAGTAATGAAATTATTATTCGACTTTTTGTAAAAAATTCGCGTTGTCATAAAGCGATCCGAATAACGATTTAATATGGACTTGCATATTGAAGATTTTTGACAGCATGTTATGAAACACTATCAACTGTCTGCCAATATAATTTCTAAGTTCTGGGGTAGGTACTGTTCCTTTCATCACAACTTTTCTTCCTGTTATTTTCAGGAAGTTGATCAGCTATCCGGTTTAATTGATCATGAAGATTAGAACAAAAATAATAATATTGCAAAACATGTAACAAAGAAAAGAGCATTTATAAATTACAAGTCACTAAATTGGAAGGCCTCATCCTGAAAACTTCAAGTAGTATTAACACGAATATATACATAATGCGAAATAATCTAATACCATTAATAATACAAAAGTTAATTGACAATAGTCACATAAAGAGTAATTATAAATAATTCAACTGTTATAATGTCCAGAATTATAACAATAGATTTTATTTTTTAATACTTTATGTATTACAGAGTCTATTTCGTAACTATAACTTTATTCGCGAGAAACAAATTTCATAGAATTTAAATAACATTCACGTAGAAGGCTTTTATTCTGAATCATTCTCAACCACCACACGCAAAGCGGTGAAGATAGAGAAAACATTGGATAGATACTGAAACATTACCAACTTGTTATTCACATATTATCTTTGATCATTTCATTTGTTAATTAAAGAGATTGCAGCTATAAATAATCACCTCCATTACATTATAATTTGATTAAAGTGAGAAGCAATTCAAAAATTGAATTTTTTTTAAATACGCTAGTCTGTACGATATATATTATCAATGCCACGCTGTGTACTACATAAAAATCAATGTGATTAATTGAAAATGCAGAAAAGTGTAATAATACTGTAATGAAAACAATAGTTAGCAATGATTTAGTGAAATAAAGGCAGTAATAAATTTGAAATTACTAATTCTAAGTAAGTTTGCTAATTAAATAAAAAATAGTACTATACAAATAGAAACAAATTTTTATCAGTTATTTTTTTGAATATTCAAAATAAATTTCCGTAGGCTCAATTAGGCTCAATGTTAAATGATAAAAAACTTTTTTGTATAATATATTTCAAATTTATTTTAGTAATTATTTATATTATTTTGTATGTCAAACAAAAATTACTCTCTGCGATAATATAGTCTACAATAGTTATTTCAGCAATTTCTTTAATGTTCTCATTTTGCCATCTCTTCCTCTATTATATTTTATTAATTTGTTATACTTTGTTTTATGCTTTTGTTTCATACTATGTTTTTTTATATATTGTTTTATAATCTTATTAACCATATAAAGTGAAATAATATAAATTAAAAATAAATTTAATTTTGAAATTTATTAACTTTATTAATTTTATATTGTATGTAATAAAACAACCTATCTATATAACGTAATTTGTTATTTCTTTCACCTGAAATTATAATAACTGATTTTTATTCATTGCTACTAACAGTAAGTGGAAGATGTAGAGTGTAAAGGAAGTACATAGGTGGTCAAATTTCCTCCGATTCATCAGAAAGAAAATCATAAACTAAATTTCGACAACTCTTTCTTTTCGCGATATAGACATTCTGCTCTATGTTCTAGATTTCTATCTTTTAGAATCCAAATACTCAAAAATCCAATTATTTATCTTATATAAAAACATTAAAAATACATCAACTTTTAAACGTCTTCAACAGTCTTTGAAACAGTCGATACGAAATACCTATGTATTGTTGTAAGAAGATACTAATTTCAGGAATTCTTTTAGATTCTAATTATTCCATCATAATCTAGGTTCTAAATACAATACATCAAAATAGAAAAATGCCTAAATCTCGAAAAAGAAGGATTTTCAGATCTATACCTATATGTATACATATAATTTAATAACTTTATTATTCCTTAGAATTAATACCGAAGTTTTTTCCCTGTATACTCTGTATACAATAAGTAAAATACACAAAATAGATCTATTTCCATATTGCTGCAATTTCTTCTAATCGACATTTGGATAATAAGTTGCCTTACCGAACAATAATAACGCAAAGAAAGTTCCGGTATTATGCATCTGATAGAGAGAGTTATTGGTTGTTGATATACCAACACGTTCAGTAGATTTTTTTGCATTTCTAATGTCTGTTTGTACCAAACTGTGTCATATATACTTCGTGAGACATGTATACTCTAAAAAATATATAATAATAATAAAAAATATATAAATACATATAATTGTACAAAAGATCAATAGTATTGATAAAAGTACAAGGAACAAAAAGATATACGTATATCTTATACACGTATATTATGTTATTAACATCTGCATTTCCAGTTGCTAATTGTGGAAACAGGTTTTTGAAATAATGGGGATTTTATATAATATTTATATATAAACAGGGATTTTAGAAAATTAAATATAAACAGGGATTTTCAAAAATTAAAGCATTTCATTAAAATCGCGTATGCAATGATATGAAACACAATTTCCAATTTCCAATAAGTTAATCGTCATATCTAACAACCAATGTTTCTTTCGCAATTTTTATAAAAAAAAGTAGGAAGTCGAACTCGTACGTTATGATACATCTTGCATGTAATACATATTTTCTCATGTGCGTGCTCTAACATGTAACAAGGAATTAATTAAAATTATAATTTCTTATATAATAAGAATATTTAAAATTAATTAATTTAATTTCCTAAAATAAGAAACGTGGTCGTACTGTTATCTTTTTATAAGTAATAAGGTAACGTGATTTACCATATCTTTCAAGTAATCGGCTGGCCATGCATATATATAAATTTCGACGAGTACAGTGAAAGATAGAATTACAAATTGCATTTTCACAATTAGTGGAGTATCCTATACATAAACTGTATATATTAGTTTGTTATCCTCTATACGAAACATATACGCTTCACTTACCATGAGTAAGATAATGCCACATAAAGTAACACCAAACGTGCTTACTCCTACAGCATAAAGTACTATAAAACGAAAAATATTAACTACCTCTTCTGCGTATCTAAAAAAAAGTGCTTACAACGAACTCAAATATATCCTACCATACATTATGAATGAAAATGTCGTCCTCACCTTCTTAAATACAACTGTTTCTTAATGCAGACGACCAACATACTGGCATTTGTAATTTGTGTTATTTCTATGGCCAAACACTCGAATCTTGCCGCTGTGAACCAAAATAAAAGCGCCCCAAACATGCTTAGACACAAATGTGCAGCGCATTGATAGCAGACGATAGACTGTTGCACATATATGATAACGTGTACTGGCGTGTCGTTAACGCGAAATGGATATTCCGCGTCGCATGGGAAAGATGCCGACGTGAATGCTGGCCCTACCGAAAAAGCAGTCGAGGTCAGATATATACATACGATGGAACTTCCAAAAAAGATGCTGCATTTGGCGACAAGCTTGCAATAAATTTCCTTTTCATACTGTCGCGCCTCTTTGACGCAGTTTAGCATCTCCTCGACCACGTACTGCAACCCCCAATAATAATTATAATAATTAAATCGCATACTCTCTTACAGAAATGTAGAGTGAAAGCGGATGGAAACTTACTTGCAGGGAGTCATGACTTATTACGCATATAATACCCTGGATCGTCTGTTGGCTTATGCCCATAAATATACAGATGCATTGAGAAACACTGAGTATATCGTCTGAATGCAGATAAATCGCATATATCAAAGCGAGGAGCACCGAGCAAGCGCTAATGATGCTACTGATCTGTAAAGTTTTATAAACAAGTACTCGCGTTTTGCTGCTGTTACTGGGCAGCGGCCAACAGAAGGATAAAACCACGCTAAACCAAATGATATCGATGGCTTTCTCTGGCGTTGGTTGCTTCAACATAATCTCAAAAGACTGTCTGGCTGTTAAACGAACGAAACGAGGGGTTTAGTTGGTGCAGTATCGATACATGCACAGTTAATTGTTACATTGCTGCGAAAGTAAGTGAAGCTTGAATCCGTACAAAATTATTCTTTATGAGCAAAGAATTTAATAAATCATACTGGCAGTAACGTCTGAGAACGATCTATTGATTGGCGATTTGCTGCGAAGTAGTACTTACGGCGGTTGTTTCGACGATGATTATTGATTGCATTATACATCGGCGCAGCTTGTGGCATGAAGCAGGTAGATACGAAGGGTGGTAATTACGACGAAGCTAATGTTTATGGACACATGCAGAAAAATACGTTGTATATACGTGCCTGTTAAATCATACCTTTCAACTGTTCTACAGGAACGCGGCAATATTAAAGAGAAAGAACACATGATGGATTGCAGGTATAGAATCTACAGTGATATGCGTCTCTTGTAATGAACTAGTGGTAAAAGAGTAGTCTTGTTTATGTGGCCGAGACGGATGTTTCGAGTATAGTCAAGCGCTCTACTCACTTTTTCACTTGGATGGATTGCTGTAGGACTGATCAAAGGACTAAATCAAGATCCAAAGTGAGTAAGCAGTAATGATAAAGTTAGCATTTGAGTTTTTGTAAAAAATCGGTCATCATCATTGCATAGTGATACGTTTGAATAAAGTTTAGCATGGATTTGCATATTGAAAATTTTTGAGGGATTATAAAATGTTCGGCCATACAATTGCGAAGGTAAGTACCGCTCTTTTTACCATGGTTTTCTTCCTGTTTCCGTGACGAGTTCCTTCGAATAATAATATAAATATAAATACAAATATTATAATAATATAATTATATAATAAGTATTGAAAGAACAATACAACAAAGGAGAATACACAAAATGAACAAAATAACAAACGTACACTGCTACGGTACAATATATTGTACAATATACTTATTCGAATGATTAAATTACGTATTTTTATGCAAATTCATATTTTCATAATTAAAGTTTAGAAAAAAGGAACTAGATAGAAAATTATTTTCTCTGTTAATTATATTAATAATTATTATAGAATATTGGATATTATATTTGGATATATTTTTATATATGGATACTTCGAATATTTTATATTTTTTTATACCTTTTGCATTCTGTGCATTTTTACATTTTCAAGTTTCTTATAAATGTATAAAACATCCACAGTTTATTAGTAATAGTGAGAAATTATCATAATATTTCTATAACTCCAATTTCAATGTCTTCGTCACATTAGAATTTTATCTATGAAGAACTTAGCAGGATAAAGTATATCAAATTCACATTAAGAATTAATTATTCGTATGCTAAATTAAACCGAAATTAAAATAAACTTCAAAAAATTCAATTTTTTATCGTTGCCAATCTTGTATTATCAGGAATTATAAACATTTCAAAATGGAGCTGTAGTTGAAACTATTGAAATATACGATTACCTTACATAACTTCCGATTACTATAAATGTATACAAGCAGCTCTGATTTATTGTATTGTAGTAAAGTATGTTCATCATCATCCATTTTATATAACAATAATACAAGAAATATAAAAATTTGAGAGTCAAAAATGTACTTTCGACTTTCTGTAGACATATCACGTACTGATTTCTGTAATTTGCAACAAAATTACACATTTTCGAAAATTGGTATGTTTCCTTTGTCAGAACAAGGATTTTCTTTATCCTGTGGTGAGCTAGTAATCGATCGATCTCTCCAACATCTTATCTATGTATCTATATGATAATTAATTCGAGAAGGGAGAAGGAAGAAGAAAGGACGAAAGAATAAAATATTTGCAATGTAAAATATATTTCATCTAGAGTCTAAACAAAATGTGACTCTCGTAGCAACAACAGTAAAACGACACTATACAATTGTACCTATTTGATTAGTACCATTACTAATTATTCGTGATTCCTGCCAAATCGCATATGACCATAATCTTCAAATTGTTCTCGTTTCCCGAATCTCATATGTCCGTAATCGTCAAATTGTTGTCGTTTATTTAAATCCACAATATCATCATCTTCAACGAGGAGATTTTCTATATTATACCTAGGGAAAAAGAAAATGGATAATTATTTGAAAGTAATTGTAAGGAATCACTGCTACAAAAGTGACAATTCGAACGAAAGTGTTTTTTAAATTGCTACTATAAGAATGTTCTTTAGGTTTAGGACATTAATTTATCGTTTATCGTTGTTCTTTTTGTGTACAAAAAAAGATTTTGATTCATAAATTATATATTATTGTTATCTTCAAAAAAATTTGTTATATTTTTCAAAAAATCAAGTTCTACTTTTTGAAAATTAGATTGGGAGTGGTGTCACTTTAAATACATTATTATATAGCTTTTTTTGAAATCATATGTTATGTCAAAATGAAGCACAAAATCAAATAAATGTTTCCAACGCTTGTAAAACAAATGACAACGTCTGAAGTACGGTATGGAATATACTAATTTCTCACTATGAATAACTTTTGCCATTCATATTATTATTAATGAATTATAATATATTTAAAAAAGAATTTATTATTAATTTATATTAAAAAATATTATAATAAAAAATACATATTATATTATAAAAATGTATTGATAATTATAAGAAAGTATTACATTATATATCAGAAAGAAACAAAAATTTATTTTAGGAAAAGATCACTGTTCATATGATGTATTGTACATCTGATTTCACATTGAAATTATTTATATACAATATTATTATAGTTAATACTTTTAATATAGTTAAAGTTTTAATATAATAAAAGTTTATTATAGTTAATACTTTTAATAAAACATTTAATGTGGCAAGTTGTTATATCTACCCCCGTAATAAAGGACGACTGCGGAGTCTCCTGCGCACGTTGGTAACAAGTTCCGGGGCTGTTTCACATTTGGCAAAGAATAACCAGATGACCGCCATTGCATAAGCTAGGGCAAGAGTGAAATTCATATCTAGAAAACAGAGAATTATTTTTACGTTCATTACAGATTAATTAATTAAAATAATCAATAAAAAAAAAAACTATATCAGTTACAAAGTAACGATTAAATACGTTCACACGTTTACCGTCCCGTACAATTTCCGATAGATACACATAATTTTCGAAGTTACATTAGCTTTCTTTCACAGCATCTAGTAAATATAATTTTCAAAAAATGTGTGAATCGATATCGTGCATTACACACGTCGTGCAAAGCTGGATTATATTTTGCGAAATAAATATCTCAAATATTATTTAATATTTTAGATCCTATAAAATAGTATTTTAAATAGTTTTTAAGATTTTGATAAACAAAACATATTTTCATTTTAATAATCTGGGATTTAATCTCGTTTAAAATATTGGGTCATCCTATAAGTGTAATAATACTATTTTTTTTCGACTGATTCCTTCAATTTTAGAATTTCTGTCGTCTAGGTAATAAAAAAAGAAATTAAAGTAAGAACGAGTCATAAATAATAGTGGTAAAACAATATTTCTAACAGTGTCAAATATCTTTTTTTCGCGTTGTTTTAAAACTCTGAGAAACCACAGTAATTATAAAATTTAATATATTTTGTTTTGGCAGATAATACATGCTGTGTTATTTTATTCTTTCGTTTTATTTCTACTCAATTTCTGCAGAAAAACTATTCGGCCAGATTTTTGAATGTGAATCATTATTTTCAGCAATAATATTTAAAATGTAGGAAATAAGGTAAAATAAATAAAATATTTCAAGACGAAATCGAAATGTTTTCAATATCCTTCAAATAAAATATTATTTTTAAATACTACTTTAAAGCCTTGTTAAAATCAAAATATTTTCAAAGTTATACGTACAGAGATGAACAAAAGTATTCGCACATTCGATGAAAAATTATCGATATTTTAAATTATCGATTCTTCAAATTTCGTCAAATAAAATCGCATGTTAGTCTCATTTTAAAGTATGAAATTTTTATTTTACTATCTTTTATCTCCAAAGATGTTTTTATCTCATGCAATAGATAGAAGAGTAAATTTAAACGTCTTCAAAATCATTGAAAAATTTTTTTCATAATTAGATCTACCATAATCTCGAACATTGAAGTCCTGCCTTTACATCAGCTTGCTGTACAATTTCTTTTCGCCATTTTATTGAATCTTGAACATTAGAGTTAAACGACAAAAATTCAAGAAATCCTAATATTTTGCCATTTAACTGTAATGTTCAAAGTTCTATAAAATGGCAAAAAAAAATCGTACATCAAGTTTTGAAAGTTGTTGTAAGTAGAAAACTTCAATCTTCAAGACCACGGTAGATGTAGTTGCGAGAAAATTTTTTAGTGTTTCCAGAGGCAGTTGAATTTTTACAATTTTCGAGAACAAAAGTATTCTTGCTTTTTTCACTTGTTGTATGATTTGAAGAAATCTTCCAAGAAAATACATAGATCCGTCAAAGTAAAGACTTCGCACGTCAAAATGAGACTAACTGGATTGTTGTACGATGTTTATGAAGTCATCGCAACAGTTTAAAATACAGACGACTTTTCATCGAATATACTTTAAAATATATAGAATTATTTATTATTTATTGTTTAAAGTATACTCAGCTCTGGAGTCGTGGCAATCACATATAATGCACAGTGAAATTGTCAAGGTAACAATGGATTGTCACATAATAGAAAAACACACATATTCTGCGTATAAAACAGTTTCAAGAAATATCATTGGAGACAAATATCGACAAAAAGACACGGAATTAAGACTTTACGTTATCGCAAGGAAAGTTGCACAAAGACTATTCACCTGTATGATAGAGAATCGAAAATCGGCGAACGAATGCACGGTCCACCGTTTGCACGTGGCTTTTTATACAAGAGCCTCATCATCCTCAGTACCCCGGGAGAGCGTTGAGCTCTTTGAATTTTAATTCACGTAGCTGCGGTCTGATAAATAAGTTTCTTGTCTGCGTAGACACCTACCGTCGAACATTCAATATTCCACGATGGTATCTGATGATTGGCAGTTCGAATAATCGTATTACCGTTTTATCACCTTCGCTTTTCTCTTCTGTAAGATAATGGTGGCTGTTTCATCTACGCACGGTGTATCTTAATTCAAGAAGCTCTGCATAATGTTGTGAATTATTTTTGCCCGTTTCAATAAGTTTTCGTACAACGTAGAAAAGTCTACGTTTTCATTCAATTTTTGATCATTCAAATTAACTCATGATAAAGTAGCTGTTATGAGAATGTAATTATTTTTTTTTCTTTTTTATGAATTGCATACGGGATTAAAAAAAAAAATTAAATTTTTAGATAAAATTATGCGTATTCGTATGAAGAATAAAATTATATAACCATATCTATGTAATTTAAATTATTCTCAATTGAAAAGTAGTTAATAGTATAATTAATTTCATATACAAAAGTGTGACAAATTGAAACACTTACAATGTAAAAAATTTTTAATCACTATTAGAAATGTAACGTTCCATGAATTATTGACAGTATAATCGATCAATTACAATGAATTGATTATTTTTATAATTAACCGATTAATTTTAAACTCATTAAATTCATGGAAAAAAATCGTACAACAAATTTCAAGGGATCATGATCTGAGTGCGATATTTTGGCATTCTAGATGGAATTAAATAGTTGGCAAGATAACAAAATCGAAACAAAAAAAAAACCAAACGTTGAATCATTCAATTATAATTCACAATTGCAAAAAATAATAAATAATAATAGTTATAGAAACAAAAATAATAAATAATAAAAATATTTAAACCATTTGTTTAATAATTTATCTAATAGTTTACATTTTGATATGTATCCATTCCGCTTCGTGTCATTGAAAGATATTAATTTATATATTATTGCGTTATTAATTCTTTTAGGAGAGAAAAATATTAAATATTATATATTGTACCGATTGAATAATTAGGTAATGAATTTCTGTCAATAATAGAAAATATTCAGTTAATTTTTTGCTTGATCCTATTGAAATATAATAAGAAAAATTCAATATGAAATCTCTTGGAAATCTTTTTGACCAAAGATATTTTGTTATAAATCAAAATATACAAAAGTAATTAAAGTCAAAATTATTAATTTACAAGATTAAGAATTAAACAAAGAATTGAATAAAGAAATTTCTGGTCTAAATTACATAAATTTTATTATACATTCTCTCCTCTCCATTGTTATATGTTTACATTTAATAGAATTATTACAAATTTTATAAATCAATAACTGATTAACAATAAGTAGTATAAAAGAAAGAGAAATAAAGAGGGAAGAATAAAACAGGATAATTGTTTATTTCGTTTACAATATTTCCATGTTATTAAAAATTTAATGAATTACTTGAACTTTGCATTACATAATATATTACCAATTGCAGTACATTTCTATGTATCAACTATATTTTTAATTCAGGTGATCTTATTCTCTAACGTATTTTAAATATTAACAAATGTGCAACAATTCTCTTGAATATTATTACTTAAACAATTTAAGATGTTTATTTTATGATTTATAAAGCAAATTAATGAATTATTCAATTAACTATAATTTAACAATTAATATAACATTTGAAAAATATACTTACTAAAAGATATACTTATTGTTTTTAAAATTTTTTTATAAATTTACTCCGTTAAGTTTATTTCAACACGTTTAGATAAAAAGATATTACGGATATAGGATCAATATGTGTAAAAATATGGAGCAATCTTTTCTTAGCCTTTTCATTTTGACCCTCCTATCCTTATTGATCAACCGGGTTTAATTCGTTATATAATAATAAGTCGAACATAAATCAACTTAAATATTTTTGAAAATTCAATATGTTATGTAATCGAAATAGTATTCAATATTATTATGTAATTATATAACACAAATATTCAACAAATAATAGAATAATATATTAATAAGTAACAATTTCTCTATTTTGAACAAGAAAAATTTGAAATGTTTATAATTCAAATTCTCTAAATTATTTATTAGCAAAAAATTATCGTTAAACTACAGTTATATATTTGCACAGTGATTTATTTTCTAAAATAAATTGATGAAATCTTTATAATTATCACATAATAACGAAATTAAAATTTAATTATTTTACAAAAACACTTTATTATGCATGAAAAATGTTTTCGTTATATATATATATATATATATATATCCAGTCTTTCTGGATTAAAATTCAATAAGGTACAATTAAAATCAAGTATGCCAAGGCAGCATTGTCAGACGAAATACAATTACGAGGAGGTAATCGGTTTTCTGTCAATAACAGTAGAAAGTTTTATTTAGTATAATTACTTTACTGAATTCGACTGATGCATTTCAGAACTAGGTACATACTTATTATTCACGACAATAGCATAATTTCATTGAAATAATTGATTATTTATTAAATATATAACTGCACAAATAATTAGGTACGTATATATAATCAATAAAGTAAGAAAGTTTAATTTTTATTGAAGTTTGTGTGTAAAAAGGTTCTTTTGAATTTAGAGAAATTTAATGAAAAATGTTAACAAAACAAAAATGAGTTTTATTTCATTTTACTCTGTACAATAAAATAAAGATATAATAAGATATATTGTACATTATATTAATTAAATTTAATTACCTATATTTGAATTCTGTTTTAAATTGTTCAAAATTATTAAAATATTTCTGCAATGTTAAGACAATAAATTACGTGTTAGAAACGTATTTTTGATTACATTTTAAATAAATGTATATTTTCTATGAAACCTTAAATATCTAATATTATTTTAAAAATCGGCTTGATACAAACCAACTAGATATTAAAAATTTTCTTCTTAAACGGATATTTAAATTGGTATTTCAATCGAATTTGTTTTAATCACATAATTATTAACAGTTTTAATATTATTACTTTATTACAATATAAATTAATCAATTTCAAGAAAATATTTCGAAAATCTAAATAATCTACTTAATAAAGTATTTATACATTGTCATTAATTTATTTTATTGTTTTGTAAAATAATTGAATAATACGTTTCTATTAACTTGTTAATTTGCAAGTTTTTATTTATCGTTAACATATTTCTAGTTTACTTTTAATATGTGTCATGAAAGATTTAATTATTTAGTATTGCATACTAAATTTATAACAACTATAACAAATAATCATTTCATAAAGTTGTCACATAAATTCTTCCGATAATCGTTTCCTGAAAATTACCAAAGAAACGATTTGCACAATTTTTAATCAAAGTTCCGCTCTTCATGAAAGAATATAGTGCTAAAAGAAAGGATTTACGTTCCGATATGGTAACCAGTTTACATCTCCCTGTTAATCCAGCAACGCTTGTTATCTAAGTCAGCTCACGCAATCGAGTATATATATATATTTTTTCGCTTACTACAGAGATCGCGTCCAATACGGGTAGAATTCGTAATGCATTACACAGACAGCGAAGCGTGAAACCAAATTTGTCGTAACTCTGTGCGAAGTCATGGTCAGGGATTATGACAGTTGTCGAATGGCTTCGGTATTTGCAGTGCTTCCAAGATATCCTATAAATCAGACCAACGTCTCTTTGGAAATTCAATTGTTTCCTATCTTCTGACCTAAATTCATCGTGCATCGTTCATCGTTGCACACCTTCGGCTAATCGCATGTAGTACACGCGATTGTCATCCCTTCAAACGTTAGGGTTCCGTAGCAGTGATCATGACCGAGGATGTTAGTGTTATGATTCAGAAAGGCCTGTCCGAATGGTGGAGCGAGGAAACCGAGTATATCTTCCAGCGAATCGAGCGATGGGCCGCGTACGCAAGGGGTTACAACCGTCTGAGGTCCCAAAGATTATCAAGAGGCCGCATGACCATGCAAGGAGGACAGGAGCCACGTTGGAGTATTTCCTCGAACAAGCTTATCATCGATGATTGCTCTTGGAGTCCACGTTTTCACACCTTGAAGAAATCACGGCGAAAGTCTCGGCCGGAGGAGACCAAAATCAATTGCTGCGGAACTTTCAACTACCAATCGAACAGCAATCTGGACAGCTCTTGCCTGGAGACATATAGGTACGATCACAGCATTTACTTTAAGACGATCGGCGACATTAAAAATGGTAAGAAAAATGGCAACGATACGACGAACGAACAAGAGGATAGAATTTCTATCAGTAGCGAGGAGCTGGTTGAATGGGACGTTAACACGATGTCGGACTTCATCGCCAATCAATTACTAGAAAATACGTTCGCTAATATGGACGACGAAAACGTTTTCGATTCTACGGGGAATTCTGATCAGGATGCAAATAGGCTAGACTCCGTCACTTGGTTCAACGTGGATTTGTCTAAGCTCGATTTAAACGAAGAGGATATCACTGTTACTGTTACCGGGGCACAAGATAATGAGAACAATTCGATAATTTCCGAGAACGAAGAGGAAACGAATAATAATTACACGCAAAGTAGAGAGTCGGTAGCGAATGCGAATTTGAGGAACCAAACGCAATTAGATTGTGTAGCCGAAGATGAAAATAATGCAAAGGAAACGCAATCTCCTGAGAAGGGAATTAAGAAGTTTCTTGACAATCGAAGAACAAGATCGTACAGAACGGTTAAACAATCACCGGTTGTTGGTGACGATGAAGTGATTTGGCCGAGTGTATTACTAAATTTACACTAGAGACATCGACCCTTCCAATTCGCCGCATCATTACGATAAATCATAAAAATAAATAAAAGAGAAAAATCTTCACGATGATATGAATTCAATTTCACAGATATATATAAATGTTTCATTCGATATATGCACATATATAAAATTATTTGTATAACGTCGTCTTATTTTATTAGAACACTTTTTTTTTGTATCAAATTCACTATAATCATGACTTTATCAATCATATTCGTTATAAAATAAACGTTTATGAAAAATATGAAAAATACACTAAATTTGTATATAATACATGTTGTCTTTATTAATCCATTTAATCAGTGTACTGCTACAATCTGTTTATTATTATTATATGAACAGTACAATGGGCTATATAAATATTTTATAACTAGAAAGAAAACATTATTTTCTGGGTGCTACCTTACAATAAAATTCCAATTTTGAATGGATAAAGAAAAATATACCTAGAAACATGAGTAATGGAATAGACGCATTGTAATAAAAATAAAATATATTTTTGAATTTACAAATATTCGTAGAATTTTTATGCCTTATTTGCATTAACTGTTGTTTCTAATTTTTAAATATAGAAAATGAAATGTTAGCAAAGAAAAAGATTCTTTCATTTATTATATCATAATATAATTTCCTAACATCATGTAAAATCGTAATATAAATGTCGTTTGTTATAAGAAAATTATTGTATTCCTTTTATTTATGATGCTACGAAGTTTTGGAAAATATATTAAATATATGTAAAATAATAGAAATAATATATAAATAATGATATAATTGGACAACAAAATGAAAATAAATGAAAATTATAAAAATATTTTTATAAATTAACTCAAGATTCATTCTCCTATATATATGTAACATAAATATTCATTATTTAAATAATGTTATATGTATTATATGTATCGTATAATATGTATTCATTATTTAAATATTTATGTTGATACAGCTAATTATTAATATAAATGTTATTTAACCCTTTGAACATTAAGATTTTCCAAGTGACAAATTGTGACAAATTCAAATTAACTTGTAAATAAATATATAATATTATTTTACACTGCAAACGACAGTTTTTATACTAATACTTTGAATGTTTCAACGTAAATGTTACACAATTATAACTAATTTCGATCTAAACAATAACCTAATAAAATTCTACAATATATAAATTATAAGTAAACATAAATTAATATAAATTAATCTAATTATTGTATTATAGTTTCATATACTAGTTTAAAAAATATAAAACTTTAAATATCTATTTATAAACTTTTCATTATAAAAATATATATAAATTCTCTTCTCATCTAACACGTTTCATTCCAAACTTTTAAACGGTAGGGTGTAACATCTTCAAGAAACTATGCGTCATTGCAGTTTTATTCAAGAAGACGATGTCCCGTAATGTTTGCTTCCTATGTTAGTTGAAATGAACTTTTTTTTTTTTAATTAACGCGAAAGCGATGTTTTTATTGGTAAAAGCTGTTGACAGGACGAACAGATTCTACAGAGCGCATGCACGTTTTATGTTGGTGGGGCAAGCCACGCACGCAAACACGTCGTGCTATCCCTCTGCAAATCGATCGACTTTTCACTTGTTTCAAGAGTGTAGTGCGTAGTACTTAGATACTCCCTAAAAATTCAGTCGTAGGGCACGTTTGTACCACAAGAATAAGAAACAGTTTCATAATCGAGCAAAATGACGAAAGGTTTGGAAACGGTGGCTACGATGGCTTGCATGAAGACCCTGCTGATGCTCTTCAACTGTATCTTCTGGGTAAGAGAGTTTCTTTTGATATAATCCACCCTAAGCATGTAAACTCGGGAAAGCTCATATCTTATCATACTGTTGCACCATATGCTATTGTTTCTACCACATCATTTATTTGAATATTTTGCTAGATCGAACTCACTTTCAACTCTCTTTTTATTATTAGCAATTATTATGTAGAAAGAAATTTCAGGAGATGACGCAACAGTTTGAAAATTACTGAGATCATTAAGGCGACTTTTTTTCAAATCATGATCATTGATCATACGCGTACACAGAGATGATGTTTATTGATATTTTATGATATTCTGGGATAAATTGATGAAAAATTTTAATTAAATAAAGATATTATTAACCTTAAATATCTATTATAATAAATATAATAATAGAAAAGATTAATAATAATGAAATTAAAAGAATATATAATTTTTCACAATTCGAGCGAAATATCTTTAAAATTTTTAAAATACATATATTTTCTTTAGAATATATATATATATATATATATATATATATATATATATATAGAGAGAGAGAGAGAGAGAGAATATATATTTTCTTTAGAATAAATAGTACTAATTTTATTACAGTTTTATAGATTAACATTTCATTACCATATAGATTTTTCAATATTATTATTTAAAAATTTATAATAAATAATTTTAATAAATTTATTTAAATACATATGTAATATTCATTGATTAAATAAGATTTTAAAAATTAAATAAATAACTTTCTCTTTTTTCTTCTGTAATACTGACACTCTTCAGTTTTTTAAAATTGAAGAATAGTAAGTCTAAAATTCTGATTTAATTGTTAAAACAATTTTAAACTGTAATCGTATCATTTTGATACATTTGGCACATGTAAGTACTATTTAATAATTTACATTTTTGATCGTCAATTAATAAGTTTTACTTTTAAAATTTTACACAAAGTTATATACAACAAATAGCATTATTAAAATTTTAATGCATATAAATTATGCATAAAAACTTACATATTTATTGATTGATCAATTTAATAATTGATAAAGGGTTGCGAACATTTGTACTTTCTGTATCTCATTGATAGAATAATTTCTTGAAGAACAATGAGTCAAAATCATATTCCTCTAGTTTATCACTCTTCCACGATACGTGATTCACTAATTTAGATTTTATAATTATGTAATTGTCAATTCTTCTATTGATAAAAACCATTGAAGCACTATGCAATTTGGACTAGTGAAAATTCATTGTTGATATTATCGGCAAATTCGGCGCAGAAAAGAAAGACAAAGAAAGACAAATTATCTGACTTGGATTTTTTCTACGAATAATTAAGCTTTCCTAATTTTTAATATTTTGGACTGGTCTAGGAAATTCATTGTGTTGCATATTTTTGTTTTTCATTAATCTTAATAAAGCTATTGATAACAATCTTTTAGTCAAAATAATTCCATTGAGAGAGATAGGTGGTTTAAAAACATTAACTTAATTTAAAGAAATTTAAGTTGCAAAAAATAAATAATCATTAAATAAACTATGGTTACAACTATCCATCGTTTGTTGTGGAGAAAATTTATTTCAATTTATGTATAATTAAAAATGGAAGTAATATGTTAAAAAAAACTTAGTATTATCATTAGTGATAAGTTCATAAAAATCTTACAAAAAATATAGAGATAAAAAATATTGATGGTGAACATTGAATACTTTAGAGCGTTCTATTATCTGGGGGAAATATTTGCATCAAAATTATTAAAGATATTAAAATTTGTCAAAGATAAAAGGAATCCAATTTATTCAATATATTTTTAAAATATTTTTTATTGAGTTGCAAAAAAGACTTAAATTATAAAAATGTATTACCTTATATCATTGATTTATCAATAAGTTTATTATCAATATTCTTGCTATCAACATCGTGTACAATATGTAGATTAGCTTTATCATCAGAACTTCTTTTCCTCGAAAATTGTTAAAAGTATAACATCTGTTCAAAATAAATTTAACACTTTATTAAAAATAAAAAGATTATTCTATATATTAATAATAAATAAAAAATCTTTATTATCTTAGTAATAATTATACTATATTAAATATTATAATAATTAAATTATTACTATTGTTGCTATAAAGAAAAATATTAAGTGTAATGATTCCTTAGGTAAGTACATTCTAAACACAAACAAATGAAATAAATAATTTTATTATGTATTATAATATACATTATATATTATTAAATAATAACGTTAATTTTACTTTGTTCAAGCAAATGTTGAAAGCCCGAATATCTTTTTTTATTTTTAATTTTTTCCATTATCTGTAACAATTACTTTTACCAATCATTTACGAAACCTCAAATCATAATTTTTACGATACATATGTCGTATATATCGAATCAAGTTTATAGAGAATCAGTATATATCGAATCATCATTTTAAAAATTATCAATCTCTGGAGAAAAAAGTGAACTCAAACAATTAATCCGTTATAAAACTACGTAATACATAATTCATATAATTTATATAATCATATGCCTAAGTAACTAACAATGAAGTTCTAAAATTTTCATTTTTCTACGTTGCTATATAAATTAATGCAAATCGTTCACTTAGATATTTGGCCTATTGGTACTGGGCATTGGAATTTGGACGCGAATTCAACTTCATGATTACATGGACGTAAGCGCGGAAAACAGCAGGGCAGCTTTATTGGCATTGGCTTGTTTGGGCGGCATTTTAACTTTGACAGCGACACTTGCCTGCTGTTGTACAACTCACGGCCATCCAGCCCTCTTGTTTCTGGTAAGAGAATTATAACTTATTTTTTATCAGTTTTCATTCACAATGAAACTTCTCTCATGTTATTAAAAAAAAATAGCAACTTATATATTACACATAGAGAGATTTCGTTTCTTCTTGTGAATCTTAATTTTTTAAAAGAATATTAAAAATCCTAATTTATCCCATCGCTCTTCCATGCAGTATATGTATAGGAGAAAGGAAAACAAGATGAGAACATTAGGGAAAAATTATTTTATAATTTTGTGTTTATGACGAAGAATTCGAACGCTACTTTATACATATCGAACACTTGCAATGAAAATGACAATATGATAATTCGGAACATATGATTTCTAAAAGAAGCGAAAAATAGTTCCATTTTTATTTTGTACAAAATTGGATAAACAAAGTAGTACATTTTACTTGTCCATAAGACGCATTTATAAGTACAAAACATAGTATCGCGTGAATCAGGAAAAACAGCATAATTGCTTTCTACCGTATAAGATAATTCATAATTGGTCGAGGAATTCTGCAATATTCTCATAGTGATAATTTGAAAGTTATGTTTTTCGAGTTGTGATACTTTAATGTTAAATCACAAAGCACATCTTCCTCTTTATTTAATTTTTAAATGATGTTGTTTCAAAACTATTTCCGCTGTATTCAACATTTTGTTGATTATTGTTATCAGTTTCTTGATTTTTTCAAAACACATATGGGGAATCACCAATTTGATTACAAAAATGTTGTTCTGTAAAACTAATGATATTATGATTGATTTTAGATTAATAATTTAATCTCGTTCTACAAAGTAATTAATAAAAAATTCTGGTTGCAGTACGGTGCTTTCTTGGCTATTGTTGCATTACTGGAACTTGCAGCTGGTGCATCGATTTATGCTTACCGTAACAATCTAAATGAAAAATTTGATCACGATCTCAATCAAACGATGCTCATCTATGGCCAGAATGAGAAGAAGAGCGCTGATATCGACACTATACAATCTACAGTAAGCGAATAATATATTTACAATCACGAATTTAGCTATTAACAATCGCCACAATTTTTCAAATGACCATTGTAGAAAAACATGCTTAGAATAAAAGTTATAAATTACAATATAAAAAATTCTCAAAAAATTGGTTTTTCAAAAAAATTTCAAGGTAACATTAAACTTACATATTTTTGGCTTCGTATTGTTACTCTTATACTACTATATGGTTTTGAGCTTCTGACATTATCGCAACGTATTTTATAAAAATTTAATTTTCAAATTAAATGGTTATTTCAAATATTTTTCAAAGTACGTGTTATCATAATGAAATTACTTGTACTGCATGTATTTTTGCATGTGAAAAATATGTAGAAATCATCTCTGATACTAAAACGAAATACTAACTTATTTTATTATTCCTTCAATGAAATAAATTCTACAAAATAACTGATATTCGTATACTAATATAATGTTTAAGTATTAAAAGCAATGACGACATTAATACGGAACTATTAAATTTCTTCAAAGTTCAGTATAACATTACTGCTTTATATTTAATTATAAATTAAGTGACAATTAAATGACATTTAATTAGAAATTAAGTGTCAAAATTTCGGGAGTGTGGGACTAATGAACTAAAAAAAAATCACAAGTTCATTTTTGCCCTATTTTGAAGAAAATCGCAAAAAGAAGAACAAAAAAAGTTTTCGTTTTTTCACTTATTTATTTACACTTGTTCACGTTATTATTTATTTCTTTTATCTCTCGTCTATATTATTATCTTATCATATCATCTATATCATTTATTTAATGAGAGTACTGTCAAAATGCTGGCCTTTTGTTACCAAACTGCTGAATATCGAACTTCTCTAATTATGACCACAACAGAGATATTGTTTTGACGATGTTTAATGTACCGCAGCTGCAATTTGGTCTCTCCAGTTACTCTCTTGAGTAAAAATGAAAATGACTTTTTGTTCTTTTCTCGCGATTTTTCCTGAAATGAAACAAAAGCGAGTAACTTTCTAAAGCACTTTTTCTCTTGGTTTATCAATCCTCTACACGCTCCCGAAGCTCTAACTTTAAGTTCCCCATATAAACAGCGAGCTTTGTTTTATAGTTGCAATGCTGCGGTAACAGAGTTTATGCCGATTGGTTGAACATGTCTCCAGCAATGGAAATTCCGTTGTCTTGTTGCAAAGCAAGCGTGCCAGAGAAAAATTGTAACGTTAACGATATAAATGACATTTATACTCAGGTAAGTTAAACAGAATAAGCAATATAGGATTAATATAAATTATAATTGAAATTAAAATAAATTAAATAATTACAAGATAGATTGAATAAGAAAGAAAAATAAACTTCGCTTATTACAAAGACAAATTTTTATAATGGTTCAGTTTTCAATATACTAATTACCATTAATACCATTTTTTTTTTTAATAAATAATATCAATTTCTGTTTATCTCTAGTGTAAGAGAAAGAGATAACATTGGTTAGTGGAAAATAGTGATTATTTAGAGACTATTTTGTTTTAAAACAGTCAAGTTTTTATTCAACTAGTTTTAACTTTTGTATTCTATATTATTTGTGTTGTTTGAATTAAATAATTTTAGTACGGCTAAAATTATTTGTGTGGTGTGTCTATCGATTCTATTTCCTTTAATAAATTTGTTTCTTTCTTCTTAAATGACCAGGAATTGGATTTGAAAACTGATGAAAAATAATGGAGTGTAAAGATTTAAAAATTCAATAAATAAATTTTATTCATTAAAATTATTTTCAAATAAAATCTACAAAAATGCGTTTTGTTTTTAATCTCCATATATATCAAAAACTAAATACCTATTTTAAGTAGCATACTCATTTATCTGCGACACATTTGTAATAATCTTGACTAGGTATGTTTTCGTATAAATTTGAATTTCTGAATGGGAAGATTGAGACATTCAGTTTCTTATGACTCCAAGATGATTATCCAGAGCAAAAAGTTATAACGATTCAAATTAAAATTTTCAGGGCTGCTACACTCGCGTGTTACGCTTCATAAATGGTAACATTGGCTTGGTTGCTGGAATAGCAGTCGGCGTAGCATTCTTTCCTTTCATAGGCGTCTTCCTAGCTTGTTGTTTGGCTAGCAACATCAACAAAGTCAAGTATGAGCAGGTTGCTTAGAATTTGCGTCGTTCGCATAAAATTCTGTGCCAGTGAGAAAAATCTGCACTGCTCAGGAGAAGAACGTTTTCAAACCAACAACCTCCATTCTATACTAGCGAATAAAGTTGCACGATCACGTATCAAAATCTCATAAAGAATGAGACTGTTATATATGGATGCTGCATCAGAATCATTATTTTTCTTATTATGGTTAAAATAACGATGCAAACAACAAAATGTTATCACAAAATGATTCAATTTGTGGAATAGACAAATATCTTATCACATATGCCGTTTGATCTTTTCATTCAAAATGTACATATTGTGCCATTATTTCTTTTATAAACAGATACATTGGTCTGAATGAAAAATTCAACGTGAAATCTGCACACAACACAGAACATGTTACGTTATTATTCTGTATTTTTCTCAGAGCTTTTAATTTAGAAAAAAAAACAGTGAGAATTAATAACATTTTTTTATATATTACAAACGTATATTATTATTATTATTCGTATATATTATAAAAATCTTTTAAATTGTTACGTGTTGTTACGTTAGAAGGATCAGATTTCAAAGATAAGATATCAAAAACGATAATTGTCCGCAAATATAAAATTTGCGGATAAAATTTTTTTTTTTATAGAAATATAGTAATTCCTAGTACACGAAATATTTACACAAAAAGGAAAAGAGAAAATTGTAAAAGAAATCGGAAATATCGATTACATAAAAAGAGAAATTACATGAAAAATTAATTCGTGTTGAGATTATTTAAAAAAAGATACGAGTTTTGCGGTGCGTTTAATTAGCATCTAATTTTATAATTTTTTTAACTAATTCGATTTGGCGACGTATGTAATTCACGATTCTAGTTCATTATGGAGTTAATTGCATGATACAGTATCATATTGGAATGATGTTAAGTAGAAAATAAAAGTAAAAACGCACAAAGAAAGATATTTCTATGAAATAAATTGAACTATAACAAATGGAATAGATCTTATAAATTTTTGTTAAAATCTTTTTAATGAGACGTAATAGACAGTCCTAACGAAATCTTAAATAACATTAAAAAACTATAAAGAATAACTTTTTAACTATTCATAATTGCATAATTTAAATATTACAAGAATGTTAAAAAACTATACAAAAGGATGAAACCATGTATAAATTTTTTTATAACTATATTTTACGAATATTCATACTTTAATTTACATACTTTTTTGTTATCGCTATTGCAGTATTTTGTTTCTCATATATTTTTGTTATTAAAAAATTGTTAATAAATTCATGTATTATAAATATACAATATAATAAATGCTATCAAAGAATGTAGTTACATAAAAAAGATACAAACATATTTATAGTTTGAAAATATTTAAAATTAAAAGTTATTACAAAATATTTATTGAAATATTTCGCTTTGTACTTATATTACATACATAAAAGATAAAATGCATAATAAGATCTGTTTCATAGATATAATTACAAAACTCTATCATAATAATTGACTCAAGTATTGGTATAACCAGTAAGAAAGGAAGTTTCGAAAGATTTAATGATAGAACTTCAAATTCCATGTTTTTTGTTAAACAAAAGTCATGTTTATATTAATTTTTAGGAATTTTATACATATATCACTGTGTTCATATTTTTAATAAACTAAAATATATTATTATATATAGTTTAATTTTAGTGATACAATTACTAAATTTTTAATACAATTATTTTCTTCTGCTTGCGATAGTTATTAGCTTACTTGTTAATTGTGTATATTAACCATGTTTGAAAATTGTGAATGCTTTTTCTTTACAATTTTACATCATTTAATGATTGAAGTTTAGTTATTAACGTTTAAGTTTCTTAAATATAAAAAAAGTGATGCGAGAAAAATTGCCTTTTGATATATATGCATATATTTATAGCATGCATTTACCTCATAATATTGTTACTATATATGGCTGTAACTTGATAGTAATTTCATGAATTACAATCTATCTCTTTTCAAATAAATACATGTATAAATTCAATCCTACTATCTTACAGCATTCTATTTTGATGTTAGACAGAAAACTTAAACAAATAATGTACTTTTTTTAATAACATACATTGTGACTTTGCCATCTTATGAAGATACATACAGATAAAAATGTTTGGAAGATTATTTTTTCAATGTACATAACTTTATTATTTGATTATCTATTTAATTAATTAATATCTAGTTACTTAATTGCGAAGATCTATATTATATATTTGTTACATCTTAATATAGTAATCACATAAAAAAATTAAATTATTTCAAAATTTTATTTATATTAAATTATTGATTAATCAATAAGGTTCGAAATTTGAGAACTGTAATAATATATATTCAACTAATTATAGATGGCCTCCTCTAATTTTATATTATTATATAATACCTTTATTTTATTTAATATAATTATAAAAATATGCTATCATTATACAATGGCAATGTCAAAAAGAACATCGTGATATATTTTTAATTTATGCAAGATCCATTTATGATTATAAAGAATTTAGATGTTGAAATTAGATGCGATAGAAAAAGGTTTTGAGACGAAAAATCATGGAAATAGATAATAATTCGTGACGAACAAAATTCCAGGTTGCTATGGGGCAGCAGTTCAATTACAAACGGAGGATCCTACAATTAATCAATAAAATCATTTAAAAAAGTGATTTTATTTTATGATAAGAAATATTACGGATGAAAGTGAATGAATAATGAATTTTCTTTGTAATTTAAATCAAATGATTGATAAAATTAAGTAATTTCTTTCGTTACATAAGAAATTTTCTGAAACATACGATATAAAATTTTTTGAATTAGTTATGAATTTTATATATTTACTGAAGTTATTTTTAATAGTAAATATATATTATAATCTGTTAACAATATTTTATTATTGGTTTATAACAAAATTATTTACAAATTTACAGACTTACTAATGATAATACGAAAGACATATTAGTAAAAGAAAAAATTAAAAAATTTTGATGATACAAATAGATGATAAAAATATTTGTTTAAATAGTTTTTAACAAAAATTTGTAATAATTTATACTGTAAAAAATTTGTAATAATTTATACTATAAAATCAAAAAGAGATAGATATTGATATATTATAAAACATTATATAACGCGAGGAAAATTTAATTAGGTCCCTGATATTATGTACTTATAGTGACTGTCCTTTCATAAATAATATGTGTTTGCAAATTATTAAGGTAAACACACATATCTACAAACTGAAGTAAGAATATATACTTTATGGATTAAAGTTTAATTATTGTAAAGTGTTTATTCTTTGAATATTTTTAAAAAACACAAGATCACAGCAAATATCAATACATGCATATTCTGTTCTTGTCATAATTTCACAATGTATATAATATTTTTATGTGCATACAAATTAAGTTGTTACAGAGAATTATTTTTGAGAATTACGTTATACAACATTTATATCTGTATAATATACATATAATAGAGAATATAATAGAGAAAGCTGAATTTATATATCTCGTTCTTTTAGAGTAAAAAAAAATATATATATATATCTCAGGAAAAGTTAAAAATAAAAAAAGTACATAATATCGGTTCTTGAAAATTCGAAAAATATTTCATAAAATTCATTTTTTGACATTCTATTTTTTTACATACACTAGATGTATATATTTATATTTCTTTACACATAAGGAAATAAGAAGACAAATTTTATTGCCAATTTTATCGTTTTGTTAACTGATGAGAGAATACGACAATCTGTAACATATGTTTTAAAAAATAGTCCGTTACACTTTAAAGTACATTCATTGTTTTACACGCAGATAAAAATAATATACCATATTATACGAGTATACGAATATTTATGTATAGATATACCATAAAGATGTTTTTCGCGTTTAAATATTTCTTTTCTCTAAAATTTTAGATTAATATATTAAGAAATTGCTTGTAAAACAAAAATGATTGTCCGTCACGTTATTAAATCATAAATATATGATAAGTAGACTGTGGATTTTTGTGCATTTATGAGAAATTTGAAGATGCAAAAATATATGAAATATTAAAAGTAATATATTTATTTCAATATTTAATAACTGAAATAAATTTTTGTTTCGGCAATATTTCTTTAGTTTTGTTCACAAATACTTAAAATTGTATAAAGATCTGCAGTCTAATGACAAGACTTATTTTACGCATTAGTTTATAAAAAATTAAGAAATTACATTAGATTACAATACATAAAAAATTTTCTTATGCTAATTGAAATTAATTAAATATCGTCTGTTTCTAAAATCAGAATCTAATTTCATGTAAATATAAACTATTAACTCCTACAAAATATATATTTATTATATTCATGTTATATTCAAATATTTAAATATATATGTATATATATATATATATATGTGTGTGTATGTGTATGTATATTACAACGTTTTTTTATAATAAATATAATTATTTCATTTCATTTCAAATAATATAATGATATATTTTAATTTTATTATAGTTATAAATCAAATTTTAATTTTTGTATATTTACTATTGTAATACTATAATTGTAAAATCATATAATTTATTATTATTAGTATATTATTATTATTATTGTTTATTTATTTATATATTTATATTGTTTAAATTAATTTATTTTCATAAAACTGCTGTTATATATTAAATATTTTACACATATTTTAAATATTTACATGAATAAAAATGAAATACAAATAAATCCTTCTGCCTTTATTAATTTTTAAATTATTTAATATTTTGTATAAATAAACTGATTAAATGATTGAAAATATATTATCAGTTTTGTACTATAGTAAGTAATTAGAAATTACGTAACATAATATATATGATAGGATATAGTGATAGGATATAATCAAAAAAACTGAACGGATCATTTAATTTCTTCATTTTTAATACACAAATGATAATTTTAATTTCTTAACTGAATGTGATAATAATAATAACTGCAAATGATATGTTAATAGTATGTGTGTATATACATATATACGTAAGGTATTGTACGTAATTGTTACGTAAAATAGCAGTCATATAATTGTTATTGATTTATAATTTTATTTAATTATTTATTACTGATGTATATAACAATTCTAAATAATTATTCAAATGTAATACGAATCGTGAGTGACAGTTGGTTCGTATTACATTTTTCATACTTCAGATTGCATCTATATTTTTGACAAACTGAAAATCTCATTTGTAGATTTCAGTTATTCTAAAAATAATAACTACAGTAATATTGATAGTAATTATAGCAATAGTAATAATAATATAATATATAATATAATATTGTAATAATAAAATCTGTAAAGATAATTCGAATTTTTAAATAAATGTAGCGAAAATATACAATTTCCTTTTTGAACAAAACTTAAAATTAATAACTTGTAAGATAGAAAACAATCTAAACTGGTCCTGAGTCATCGAGTTATATAACCGTAATATAAACGATGACTATAAAAACAGGCATATCAGTTTAGCACAAAATCATTTGTGCCAGTGTTCTTTGTTGAAATTCTCATATCATTATCTAAACGCATCGCAAAATGGTCACCTGGTGTCGTAAGCTTGCAAATGATTGGGAGCATCTGCAAACGTGAACTTTAACTTGTATGCTTCTGCTACCAATATTCTTATCTCCGAATCTGTCCAATTTTGAGTAGGCAGGTTTTGTAGCATTAACATCAGTCCCTAAATAACAATAACAAACTATCTCCATCTTTTTTTCTACTTAATAACTGAAAGGAAGATTCACATCGAATTATACTTTATACTAATACTACGATTTAAACTTACTTGAAAATCAGGCTGTAATAAAAGATGACGTCTCCAACGAAGAAGAAATGCGGCACATACGTACAGTTGAAACGAAGCAAATCGATCAGATTCTGCCAAATAAGTATCCCACAGACGAATAGTACAGTGAAGAGGAATTTCTCGTGTTAATAAATTATTCATCCACCGGAAGGAAAACTGTAAATAGTCCACACCATGTTGGTGTAAATGTTGATGTAAAGGTGCTAAAAGAATAAATTATGCCTGTAATTAATCGAACAAGATACAATAGGAAGAAATAGGAAACAGAAGGTTTCAAACGATTGATTTACGAACCATCAATTCTTTGTATTAGTTCTTTCAACTGATTTACTTTGTGCTGAATGCCTAATTGAGCAAAGATATAATTATCTTGAATACCATCGAGAAACTTAGACAAGCACCAAAAACTATCTGCTTCTATAATATCTCGTTGTTCTTTCTGTAATGACGCAACGTCATAATTTTCTAAATCTTGCCATGCTGACACAGGCACTGCTTCTTGCAAAAATACGAGAAAGAAAGGCGTCACTAGATCATTCATTCCCTTAAAAAAAAAAAAAAAGAAAAAAGAAGAAAAGGTAAAATCACGAAGAGAAAAGTATAAAAAGAGAGACAGTTTAAATATATATAAACGTACTTGAACGTAACCAGAAGCGGGATGCCGAATCGCCCAAATATAGAGTATTCTTTCGAAGATCAATTGCACTGTTGTTTGTTGAAACAATGAAACGAGTGGTGACATTCTCGGAATGTCAATGTGAATTTGACGATATGTATCTTGAAACCCTTCATCTCTTTCAGCATCATAATACTGTTTCACTAAATTCCAGTAATCTAATCGTTTTCGTTCTAATACATGCTGTCTCCGTTCTAAGTTAGCTGGTAAATACTCCTAAGTTATAAAAAGTTATAAAAATTTTTAACTTTTGGTGGAATTTTATTATTAGATATAAAACATATGGCATAGTTTACCTTTCTTACTTACAGACAATAGCCTCCATGTAACAGAACGTAGTCTTGCTGGTATGCCCGACCACGACAATTGTCTCAATTCGTCTAAGTTTAATACAGAAGCTTCCAGAAGGGACTGAAATTTATCTATTTTACTTTCCCCATCTACAATTTTTAACAAATCAAAACTAAGGATTAGTTAAAATTAAATGGTCGTGACAAGTTATTCCACAAGCACCTTGTTCTTTAGAAGGTATAAAAAATTTGGTAGGCGCGGTTGTTTGCCGCAACGGTTGTGGCCTGCCTGGGAATTGCGTTGGTTTATGTTGTGGAGAAGCACCGTACTTAACATCCGCATCTTCCATGGAATGTTGACTGTTATTCACTTGAGAATGCACAGACAAATTAGCATTTCGTAAATGTAACGGTTGCACAGCTAATCTTTGGAGAGCTTCTGCCCGTTTCTCCTCCGGAATTATTTCTTGAACACGTTGCGAAGATTTTATGTTTGTCCCGGAATCTATGCATGTTTTCCCTGATCTATGACTATTAATAACACTGATAGCAGCAGAATGGCTAACCCGTTTCGATATTTTTACATCTGACACTGTGCAAAATTCATCATCTCCCGAATCCCAAGCATCATCTATACTTTCTTGAAAATCTTGAAACGACGTAGAACCTCCACTATTTCCTGATATAGTTCCAGCACTAGTAGATATTATATTAACTGAACTACCAGATATCAATGCAGTACTACCTATTTTACCAAGCTTACCATCTTGTTTGGGACTTGGTCTTTTATTATGCATGTAAAATATAAAATATTATTATATTACATTTAATCAATAATCAATGCTAAATATTAAATATAAGTCTATTTTATTAAAAGCGTAATATTACTGTACATACCTGCCTGGAACAGCACGGGTATTCTTTTTCCAAAAAGACTGATGCGTTTGATAGGCTTCACCTTGGTGACTCTGATTTTCCATAATTATTATAAATTATGTTAACTAGCACCTGCCACCTTTCCCAGATAATTAAAAAAACGATGCAAAGTCCTCATTCCCTTAGAAAAAATTACTGAAACAAGATTTGATAACAGCATTTAGATCATTATTATTGTCACACTGAATATATAAGAAATTACAAAGCTGTATCATTTCATATACAAACATCAAAAATAACAGACATTAGCGAACTTATGTAACTATTTTGTCATGTCGTGTCATTTTTTTCCTAATGCAACTTACATTGCATCATGTAAATTTTAATATATAATTTTATCCAACCTATTTGTTTCAAGTATATCAATATATCAATGCCAAGTATATCATTAAGGAAATATACAACTATTTTATGTAAAATAAAAAAAAATCATTTAGTATATATATAAAAATATATTAAGAATATTAAACTATCTTTAAAAAAGAAAAATATTAAAAAACACAAAGATTTTTATATTATTTTTAACTCTGAATAGGTTATGTTACACTTAACAAATATTTTGATTGCAGCGGACGGACAACAATAAATTATTACATCTACAATTACGCAATAGTATAATTACGTCAACAATGACCAGGTTGAGGAAGTATTTATTATCAAATAGTATTTGAAGTATGGAACACTATGCGCATAGAGCGAATTAGATTTTCTGTTCTAGTAGACCTAAAATTCTAATTGTAAATGATGAAATAAGTGCGTTATAAACTATATAACATAAATATACTTTTTTAAAAGTTCGCCGAATGTACAAGGAACAGGCTGTGATAAAAAAATTTGTTTGATGTATATACACTTACTGTTTTTGACGTATGACACGTTTATGCTAGTGCTGCCATCAAAGAAATGGCTAAATTAAATTTTGCATATACCATTCATTCTACACGGCCAAGTATTACCTTTTGAAACATTGTACATACATTCTTTTTATTCGTTAATGTCTTTCTTTATATTAGTGACCATAAATTCGTTCTTTAAAATGGACGTGCTTGCCTTGATATCAGTTAAACTAACATGAAATAGGATGTTCTAAAAAAAAAATAAATACATAATTATTTATAAATAAAAACTCACTAAAATGACTCAAGGAACTTCTCAATGTTATAAGTTTCAATAACGTTAATAAAAGTGATTGATAATGCTGCATAACAGTAAACAATGGATAAGAACAGTAAGAGCTTCTTGACAAAATGAAATTTCGCGGCAGAGAAAGTAGTTTGTTAGAAAATCAGCGATTCTCAATATTTAGAAAAGTTTAATATACAGTTATGTTATATATATACTTTTTTTTTTATGTAAATCAAGCTTTGAATATTTATGATTTAATGAATCGTAAAATCGTAAAATTTCAGTTAAAAATAGACTAGAATAGAATAAATTTGTATATATTCTTGTAAAATAAAAATATTGTTACATAAAGTATTGTCATAATATTTATGTTAGGTTTCATTATATAAATCCATGAACCAGAAATATTCCAATATTCCAATTGGAAATGTATTACGTATACTATTCTGATACTCATATATGTGCATTTATTGTTATTTCACAGGCTTGAGAAAAATTAGATAGATTGTACAAATATTAACTCTTATTCTTTAAACATAATACACGGATTGTGTACGAATAATTTTTTCGTATCTGAGATTGTATAGAAGCTTTGAAAAATCTGAAAAAAATTCAAATAATATTTTCAAATTGAAATTGAAATAAAGTTCTAAATTAGGATTAGAATAAAAAATTTAAACAATGATTTATTTATAGATATTATTAGTCGTGTCTTTTAAATTTATTTATCGGATACGAAATACAGCAGTTTACAGATTAAGGTTTAATTATATGTATGTAAACGTATTGAACATTTCCATACATTCAGGATCTGAAAAGATCACACGTAATCGACAGTGATTCTTGAAATTTTCACTAATTTTTTAAGTTTCTCATTCTTGTAAAAATACAATTGATTATTTCTTACGAAGAGAAAGTTTCAGAGACAATTGATACATTGGATTTATTAAACGTAATTTTAACAGAAATCTATCTTTGACATATCTTTTCTGTAAGTCCGTGATTTACGTGAATGTTACTTATTGAGCACCACTATAGTGCGTACTGTCACGTGTACAATTGTATCGTATGTTGATCCGACATAATCAGTACACTGTCAGTCGGTCGCGTATGTTTTACGCCGATATGTCCGTAGCGGCGTACTTCAAGAATTCTTGCAACTCTCGAACGAAAATGTAAAGACGTTTATAATTTTTTTGCATTGTAACATACACACGCATTAGAATCCGATTAGAATCCCAGTAGAAATGTTTTAAATAAGCATTAGTTCTTTTATTTTTCTTGTGAAACGGCTCGCCTGAGTTTTGACATTTTATGGTAAGTTATTGAAAAATATTTGTACACAATAGTTCATATTATTTTTAGAAATTATTAATGAAAAAACTAATCTATTGATCATATAATTTATTTAATTTCACAATTGTCGTGATTGTATCGCGAATTCATACACCAGCGATCTAGGTCTATCGGTACTATCGCGGTAATTTAGTTATACTACTTTCTTTATAGCATTCTACTTATTCTAAATCGCTTCCGGGTTCTCGTCTCCTAGTTGCTACTTTAGAAAGAATTCTAGTAATAAGTTTTCTAATTGAACTGTTTACATTTTTAATGACAGTTATGACGTTAACGTGTTTTTTTGTTCAACGTGATAATTTGTTCAACTGCTCTATCATGTTTTCAATTATATACGTTTCTCATTCGCATTATTAAAAAGAATCAGTAAATAATTAATTTTTACATATATATGTGTGTATATGTATGTATATGTATTTTTTATTTTTAGCATTATCAGTTTGTTCTTTTCTTTTTTCTGGATACATTTGAAGAAAATATTTTTTTATAAAGCTAGTGAAGAGGAAATTTTAATGATAAAAGTATATCTATATCTGTACAACAGGTAAATATTTAATTTATTAAAAATTACTTAATGGTCATCGTATTTATTAATGTATTATCTTTAAAAAAAATTAATTTCACCTTTGAAATTATATTTTATCTTATCATATGATTTCTATCTCTGTAGCGTCCTATCCATTAATCTATGAACTTTTTTAATTCAGTCACAGTTCAGTTAAGCTATCACAATCAGTTAAAGCACCAAAATGATGAAAATGAATTATGATAAAAAACTGTTTTTGTTTTCTTTTGTTATAGTTCATTTTTAATAGTTATATTTACAAAATATAATTTTTATCATGAGACCACAGAATTAATAATCCAAAATTGAAGGAGAATCACATTGAGAAATCTGGCTAAAAAAATTTAACTTTCATCTTTAATAAATAACATATGTATATATATGTAATTAAGAATTCAGTTTAATATAAGATCTCAATGTTGAATATTTGTTAAATGTGAGAATATTTTATTGTTATATAAACCTCATATATAAATTAAATGTCAATGAATTATAATCTGCAATATCTCTTTTAAGCTTATCTAAAACATTAATTCATCATGTCGGATATCGAAGAAGACGAGGTATGTGTCAATTAAAATGATATCAAATTAAAGTTATTTTATTAATAAATAATAAGTGACAGTATTTTAATGAAATCTTTATTTCAATGATATTTTAGTTTCAAGATGCTCACGAATCTTTACCACAGTAAGTATGTTGTAAACATAACTAAACATATGTACATTAATGTATTTTTGGTTAAATATATTTTGTTGCAAGGCCTACTACTATGGATTTGGATACGGCAATTATGGAGGCAAAAAAAGCGATACATTATTTTTTTAATAATGATTTTGAAGAAGCAAGAAAAATTATGGAACCTTGGGCAGGCAGTAGCATGTATCATTCTTTAGGAACAAGTATATTTGCATTCCTCGAGGCTATTCTGACATTCGAACAAGTATTAAACCACAGTAAATTGTGATATTTGGAAAATATGTCTTTCAATAATACATTGTAACATGTATTGCTTAGAAATACATTGAAAAGGCAGCTGGAGCTGTAAAACAGTGCATGACTGTGTGCTTGAAGCAACGTAAACATGTTACACTAACACAAAATATTGGCAAAATGGTGAAGAAGACTAATTATGATGCTTATACAATTGGTAATGTATACATATGTACCAACCTGGTACAGCATGTTTTATCAAGTTACTCATATTACTTTTTTATACTTACAATGCATTATCAAAATAAAATTTCTTGGAAAGCATAAATTGGTTTTTAAACTAACAGATAAATTTTCTTTTCTAACAACTAATTTCTTAATATTTAAATCTCATTCTAACATTGTAGTCAAATAGAATATTATATTATATTATAGCACAATTTGTATACAGAATGTTACATTTAAATGCAAGTGGTGAAATATCTTATGGAAGACAGAAGTTATTGAAAAAAATGTTTCTACAAAAGTTGTAGTGGTATTACAAAAATCCACCATTCACATTTAAATGTATATCTATACATTAATTTGAATAATTCAATATTTTAATGCGAAATATGTTGTATGAATTTCTATAATTTCTAATAATTACTTATACATTATAACGTGTTGTGGAACTGGCATTAATAAACCATTAAGCATGCAAGAAATGATATGGAATTACTATTGCAGAGGAAATACACGCGGAACTCTGTTATGCTGAATCACTTTTTTTAAAATCGATGCTCACGTTTGTGGAGGATGAGACTTTGGTTAGCTTTGTTAAAGCTGGATTGAAAATTCGTACCTGTTTTTTGTCATATAAGTAAACAAATCATATAATGAATTGTCTATATTGACGTTATATCCATGAAAAAAAAAACGATATATCATTTTATGTATATTATCCTCTTTCAGAGAATGTTTAACAATTTTAAATAATCGTAAATGGGAAAATAATGCTCATAAAATACATTTTGAGAGTGGTGTTCGTACTGGTATTGGTGCATTTAATTTGGTATGTAGAATTAATAATATTTATTGTAGAAAATAAAATGCAATAACTATTTTTGAGAATTTTTCAGATGATCTCTCTATTACCAGCGAAAATTATCAAACTCCTAGAGTTTATTGGATTTTCAGGTGATAAGGTATTAAAATATTCTTTGATATGAAAAATTTTTGTATAAATATTTTCATCTCATGGTAATAAAATATCGTTGCAATAGGAATATGGTTTGTCGGAATTAGAAGCAGGATACAGAGAAAGAAGAGGATTACGGCACGTATTGTGCTCCATGTTTCTTTTAGCTTATAACTTAATAATATCATTTGTTCTGAGTCATACAGACGGTGATCTAGACTGGTGTGAAAAAGTTTTAACAGAAGAACTGAGTCTTTATCCAAACGGTGTATGGTTTTTATTTTTTAAAGGCAGACTAGAACTAACAAGAGGGAATTTTGAAAAGTCATTAGAATGGTATACTAGGTCTTGGAAAAGTCAAGATCTATGGCCTCAATTTCATCATATTTGTTTCTGGGAATTAATGTGGGCACATTGTTCGTTGCAACAATGGGATCAAGCTGCAACATTTGCAGATACTTTAGCTACAGAATCACATTGGTCGCGTACAATTTATTTGTATCAAAGGGCTACGATACTTATGATGCGAAAACCACCGGCACAAAGTGAAGAGAAGCAACTGATAGATACCTTAATGATGCAAGCGCCTACTTATAAGCAACGTATTGCAGGGAAGTCATTGCCAATGGAAAAATTTGTAATAAAAAAAACTGAACGGTACTTTGCTCAAAAAAAGAAATTAGTTCTTCCTATATTTGAACTTATGTTTGTGTGGAATCTGTTTCGCATAGTAGGTAAACGACAAGATTTGACATTAAATATGTTTAAAGTAATCGAAGACGCTGAAAAGGAACTTGCAAAAGCTTCGTGAGTTTTTCTGACCGATTACTTTCTTGATTCAATTTGGCACATTTGTGTAGCAGCATAAAAAGTTTCAAATATTTTATAGCAAAACAGAATATCATGCGGATAATGAAGGATTGTTATTGCTTCTAAAGGGTGCATGCTTACGACAAATGAAACATCGTTTGTTAGCCGAAAATTGTTTAAAACGCGTTCTTGAATTGGACAAGTCAATCAAAGAGGATACATATTTACTTCCTTATGCAACAGTAGAATTAGCTTTGCTAGCACAAGATCAAGGAAACATTCAACTCGCTATTGGATATCTAGAGGATGCCAAGTAACTTCTATTCAATTCATTTCGAGTGTTCACGAGATATTTGATATTCAGTCATTAATTATTTTATTTGTTCTAGAAAATCATATACCGGATATCTGCTGGAATCCAGATTACAGTTTAGGATTCATTCTGATTTAATGAAATTAACTGGAAAAAAGGCCGAAGAAATTTTAGCATAATAGTACCTGAAAAATAATTTTTCTGTATGAAAATATTCGTTACTGCCAATAGCATCACACTATTGCAGATTTGGGCACTATTAATTTTTGTTAATATTTTATTTTTATGTATAAATTATTATACAACCTTTAATACTTTTTCTAGGACGATTCATGTTTAGCTATGTCTAACGATAAACTATTTTATTATGTAGAACGTTTAAACCATATATATTTTTTGCTAATTTTTACATATCGAATGAATATCTTTAGCAATATTGATTAACAAATACCATCTTTATTGATGATATTTATTAACTATTGTGCATATATCTAATTAGTTGAAAAGATCTAGAAAAAGATTTAAAGATTGAATTATTTTTTTAATTTAAATTTTTTTCATTGTAAGATATTAAGAATTTGTATAGATAGTATAATGCGACAATTTAATTGGTGGTAGTAAAAATCACTATTGTTTATGTGTATATGTTCTCCGACACACACGTTGTACTTGTAATGTTTAATAAATTGCAACTCAAACAGAATATGAAAAGGGGCGAAATGAAAAAAATAATTCATCGCTGATTAAATTTGTTGCAAAGACAATCGACTTATAATTCTGCCTTTCATGTTATTTTATATGATATCTTCTTTTTAGTGTTGTATATTAATTTTTACGAACTGTTGTCAAAATAAAATTATTTAAAATTTTATGTGACAATGGATGAAAATGAATTTGAAAAATATTTCTTACTTCCTTTATATTTTTATCTACTGATCCCAATACATTAATTATATTAGTGTCATATTCTTAATTAAAATTTTTTTTTTGAGATTTATATATAGATATATATGGTTTATACACGTATATGTTGGTGGGTCATACATGCAATGGCTAATTGCACAACGCGCGCGCACAGAACGTTTATGTTCGTTCTACCTCCATCGTGTACGTAAGATTTCAGTTGTAAAAATTTACAAAATTGTCCATAATAAAGCATTTGTTATTATAAAGAAACTTAGAATAAAACGTATAAATGTATTCTTTACAGAATATTAAGATTGAAAAGCATTTACTTTCCATTTGTATGTTATCTCAGATATAATCTAACCTTTTGTGTCATTCAATTAAGCCGGCTTTGTCGAATAATGACATGCGAGAAGTAAAGCATGTTCTTGGAAGTAGAATAAATTTGATTTCAATTTTATATATTTTAAAAGTGAATCATTTCATTAGTTATAAGCGATTAGTTACAAATTGTACACATATATATATATATATATATATGTAATTGTACATATATATATATAATTGTATATATATATATATATATTTTTCAGGTTGTACAACTATTAGTTAATAGCAATAACATCATTTAATTTGTTACTTATTTCCATGTATAAAATTCTTTTTGTTTATAATTATTCTATTAATTGCAGAGAAATTATTTTTAAGAGATTAAAACAATTGGTAATGTTAACAAGCACTTGTGTTAACAATAGGATAATAACAAGAACATGTGTTCAGGTAAATAAATATTATATAAATTTAATATAAAGTTAAAATAATTAAAATATAAATTCTAATTGCATTGTAAAAAAAAGCATTTTAGAAAGTGAAGTGTAAAAAAGCTGAAGTTCTCACAATAAGCATGGATGTTCAAGGTTCTCTGAGAGAAGCTTTATATGAGACATTAAGTGGTATTTTGTCTCCTCATAGAGAGACTCGTCAAGCAGCTGAACAAAGAATCCAGGCGTTAGAAGTTACAGAGGAATTTGGTATACATTTATCGGAATTTGTAGTAGATTCAAATGGGCATTTACCTATTAGACAGTTAGCTTCTGTATTATTAAAGCAATATGTTGAAACTCATTGGTCTTCTGTTGCTGAGAAATTTCGACCTCCTGAAATAAAATATGCAACAAAGGAAAGAATAAAAGAATTACTGCCATTAGGACTCCGTGAATCCATTAGTAAGGTAATCCATTTATAATTAGCTTTACGTGTATTGTATATATTTTATATATATATATGTGTTTGATTTTGTCTTCAGGTACGTACAGCGGTAGCTTATGCAATATCAGCAATTGCACACTGGGATTGGCCAGAGAATTGGCCAGGTTTGTTTGATATACTTGTAAGCTGTTTAAGTGGAGAAAATGAATATGCTGTTCATGGAGCCATGAGGGTTTTAACAGAATTTACATCTGATCTTACTGATAATCAGTTGCCTAATGTGGGACCAGTAATCCTTCAAGAAATGTATAGAATATTTCAAAGCGAAAATGTAAGTTTGTTAATTTTATTATTTTTTCTTTTTTTCTAATTTAGTATTGTCCTGAAAATACTCATAACACTGATCATTCTTTTTTTTTTTTTAGCAATATTCCATTAGAATCCGTGGTCGGGCTGTTGAAATTTTTACGACAATTACAACGTTAGTTGCTGTTACAGGAGTATATCAAAAAGGTTTTACAGAGCAATATTTACAACCGGTCATACCTATGTTTTGTGAAAAATTTGTCTACTGTTTACGACTGCCCGATGGTCCAACTTGCGATAGTGGGCTTAAAACCGATGTTATCAAAGCTATAAATTGTCTAGTTATCAAGTTGCCTAAATATGTCTCAACATTTTTACCTCAGATGTTACCGCCCGTTTGGGAAACTTTAGTGCAAAGTGCGAAAATTTATCAAGAAGAATATGTAAACGGAAAAGGAGATACAAGCGACAAACAAGTTGATTCAGATGGTAAATTTCGGAGATTTAATTTGTAATCGTCGAAAATGTATCTGTTTTCAATGTGCTTCTATTTTGGCAGGTGAAATAATTAACTTCAATAATTTGATTATTGCCATATTCGAGTTTGTTCATTCTATCGTGGATCGTAAACGATTTTCAAATCTTTTGGATAATTTACTGCAAGAAGTGATGTATTATTTAATAATCTTCATGCAAATAACAGATGATCAAATCGAATTGTGGACAACTAATCCCAACCAGTTTGTTGAAGAAGACGACATACTAACTTATAATGTTCGCATTTCGGCGCAAGAGCTCTTAACGGTAATCTTTCAGAAACAACTGAAATAGTTAATTGGTAATGAGTGAATATTTCAAATTTGCTTGACTGCAGGTTTTAGTGAATTATTCTGAGGAAAAAGCGGTGAATGCACTTTGCGAGGTTGTAACGCGTCACATTGAAGCAACTAATAGATTACAAACTGCAAATAATGAAACATGGTGGAAATTACGAGAATCGTCTATTTTAGCGTTAAGTAAAGTAAAAGACGTTGTGGTAGAAAGACAAAAAGCTGGAATGCTTCACTTCGATATTATTAGCCTTTTAGATACAATCATTTTAGCTACTTTAAAGGATTCAGGTATTTGGCTTTATTTCGTTTCTATAAAAATTGTTTCTTCTTTTCTTCTTTCTTTGGTATTTATTCGTTTGTTGTCTTATATCACATTGGCAAATTTTAGGAGCATCGCCGTTACTCCTTGGTCGTTGTTTGTGCATTGGTGGCAAATACGCCGAGCTAATGCCACCAGAGATAAGTTCACGATTTTTGGAAGCAACTGTTAATGGGTTGCAGGAGAATCAACTTTCGTGTATTCGTATCAGTGCAGTAAAAGCTATTTACTGGTTTTGTAAAGCATCAGTGGAAGAAAATAATAGCACTCTTGGCAATATTATACGATCTCATTTGCCAAATATATTTCAAGGAATTTTTAGTTTAGCCAATCAAGCATCCACGGAAATTTTGACACTAGTATTAGAAACTTTGCAAGTACTTGTTTCGGTAATATCTAAATTATCTTTCTTTACCCTTATCTATTTTATATTAGATTTCGTTTAGTTACATTAAATTCTGTTTGATTTCGCAGTTGGACAAAGCATTTACCGCCTCAGTGGAAAATAAAATTTGCCCTTTAACTATCGCTGCATTTCTAAAGTTCTATAGCGATCCTGAAATCTTGAATCTGTGTCAAGATATATTTAAAAGCTTGACACAAAATCCTGATTGTATAGGACCGTTACAAACTCGTTTGGTACCGACGTTAACCAGTATGATGGCTGTAACACCTATGGATAAATTAAATGATGGTAAAATTTACTAAAAATTAAACATATTTAACAAAAAAAATTGCTCGTATAAACTAATTCGTAATTATATTGCTCCGATTGTTTGTACTACAATAGAGAGATGTCGAAATGTAGCTCTAGATGTTTTGCAAGTATTAGTGCAATACTCTCCTAAACCATTGAGCAGCGCGTTGATCGAAACTGCGTTCCCTGCTGCGTGCCACTGTATTTTGAATTCAGAGGACAACGAAACGTTACAAAGTGGCGGGGAAGTAATACGGACTTATCTAGCCGTTGCGGCGCGACAAGTGACTGTACATCGAGACAATGACGGTCAAACGGGTCTGCAATATATACTACAAATCGTTGCTCAGCTGTTGAATCCGCAGGTAACTTAATAATTTTGGTTGAATCGTTAGATTTGTTTCTGCTGATTTATTCCACCACAAGTATTGACACATAGTCTATATTATAAACGAATTGATTTTTTAACGAGGCGCGTCGCATTTGTAGTCGAGCGAGTTTACGGCGACTTTCGTCGGACGATTGGTGACAACACTGATTAGGAAGGCAGGAAACACATTGGGTGAAAATCTCGATTTGTTATTGAAAGCTGTGTTGAGTAAGATGCAACGAGCTGGGACATTGACCGTGGTACAGAGTTTGCTCATGATATACGCTCATCTCATAAATACAGAATTTGATGCTGTCCTAAATTTTCTGTCAACCGTACCCGGTCCGACAGGACAAAGCGCTCTCGCTTTCGTACTCTCTGAGTGGGTCAGCAGACAACACCTATTTTTTGGCAAATACGACCGAAAGGTAGCAACAGTTGCGCTTTGCAAGATACTGGAATACGGTGTTACTCACGGCGACAGTCGATTAAACGAGATCACGGTCAAGGGAGATCAAATATTCTCAGGTTTGTATTCGAAACGTCGTACAAATTAGACAATTAGACTTTAGATAACGGGAACATCCGATTGAGTTAAACATACAAATATATCGTTTCGTTACATTAACTTATGATACTTGAACATGTAGGAAAATTATTTTGATCGTTGTCTTTTTTTTCGTTAATTCTTCTGAATGTTTATTTTAAATCTCAATTAGTACAAGATGTCGATAAAATATTTATTCCAAAACAGCGAGTGACTAATTAAAATTCGAGAATACGTAGGAAATGAAGAAGGCGTGAGGACTAGGAGTAAAGCCGAATCACAGCCTTATCAGTGGACCACCATACCTGTTTTGGTGAAAATATTTAAGCTGATAATCAATGAGTTGTCGAACGACATCGAAGCGGTCGCCGCTAGCCAAGAGACGGATGTTAGTGACAACGCATGATAACATCTTTGATATTTTATTTTTTGTCTTGCGATTCGACCTAATCAAATCGTTTAACGCGCAGGATTCAGACAATGACGACGACGAAGATGACGGTGAGGACGCCTACTTAGATCCAGGTTACGAAACTATGTTATGTAAGTGAAGTGCGAGTCTGTGGTGTTATCGGCACGTCTTGACTCGTTAATCATTTTTGCTAATATTAACGTTATAATATAATTCTTGTTTAACACGAGAAATTATCATTTTATCAATTAGTGTTGGGAGAAACTGCGAACGAAATCGAGGAAGACGAGGACGATCCGGATTTACTGCAAGATTCCATCTATCACTTGAATCTGAGTCAATACTTGCGAGACTTTTTATTAAATTTTTCGACTCATCACTGCTTTCCAGCGTACATTCAGCATCTAAATATTCCGGAACGGAAGGTTTTAAGCAGCTTAAACATCAACGCATCGTTCATGCAATAGACAGATGGATAGATAGATGGTTAAATAGACACATGAGCAGATACACATGTCGATGATGAGGATTTTCGAATTTCGTAATAAAATATGTGATTCTTCGTATATATATGTGATATATGTATATGTATATATATACATATATATTTTTGTTACGGCACATTTTACCTGTTTTATTACATTTTGTTCGCATGGCAACTCAACGTTTCGTGTCGTTCAATCGACTCGCGAGAAAGGAAAGGTTGCACGGGACGACGCTGATATTCGTTTTTTCCTTTTTCGTCCTTCTCCGTAGGTCACAGGGCCATGATTCACAATTTTCATTCGCGTTTTATTCATAATTATACCATCGTTACGTTTATTGTACATATCTACAAAAGCGTACTCGTTCTATTTTCTTTATCCACAAAGTTTCAGTTCGTGTAAAATAATCTACGTACATTTATATTGTTATACGAGAAATATGTACAACCGTATTCGGAATTTACGTTATTTCGACGACCATAAACGACTCGTTTCGCTCGCTTGTAATCCATTGGAAATATGATGAAGTTCAGTCACGGTTTTCGTAGCCCAAATAAACATAAAGATAAAACGGCGTGATTGACGGTGAAAGAAAGGGGAGTGAACATTTGTAGAGCGGTGATATTGATCTTGTGTACGCGCGTCGATTAAAGATATAATTACAAAAACAGTTAAACAGAGTCTGGAGAACGATCGTACAGTGACGAGATCACTTATGGCGAGACACATATAACGCGACAAAAGGAAGCACGCAGAAACAGCGAAGAAATTCTTTTTCCGCCACTTGTAGATTTTCACGCTTCACGTTTTACAATTCAAACGGTCGTTACCGAAAGAAGGCCCATTAGTTTGCCACCAGTGCCGGGACCTCCCGCACTACCGACCCTGTTTCCGTGAACCAACATCTCTTGAACAGTGGTGAAATCGTCCAACGTGTTCTTTTTACGAGCCATCTTTTTGTGACTGAGTTCCACGATGTTCAGCGGCTTCTTCGGAAGCTTCTCATGTTCTCCATGCTCGCACGTCAACAATTCGTTGGTCTGCTGCATCTGAAGCTGCTGTTGCTGCTGCTGCTGCTGCTGCTGTTGAAGTTGCTGTTGCTGTTGCTGCAGTTGAAGTTCTTGTTGCCTTTGTTTGCGTTCGCGAGCACGTTCCAACTGTCTCTTACGTTCCTCCTTGGTCCAGTATTTGCCCACCTGAGGTGTACCAGGGATAATTGTGCGTGAGAGAAGAAATAAAGAGAAGCTAGCCTGCGACTAGTAATGGGATCTCAAACATTTCTAACCATTTCGAATTTGTACATAGGACGGAAAATATGAATTCTTTCGAATGTGATTCGAAGTCCTTGGATGCCTTGAAAGTCTTGAGCGCTTTGATAGGTTTAAGAGCTTGATAAGTATTAATATTTTACAAATGTATTGTAAGTATAACATCTTATAAATATGTGTTTTTCTTGATGCAGTATGTTAAAATAAAGTATTAACAAAAGTTTGAAATGTCCAAATTCAAATGATACAGGAAAAAATTTTTCACGACGTATCGAAATCTTTGAAATCTTGAAGAATCGAGATTGGAAATTTATAAAAATTTTCAACAACAGTTACAAGTAAGCTGTAGATTTCTATGTATATTATATTTTTGAGAATATAATAAAAAATATAGAGGCTCGATAGAAACTTGTACTTTGGATATTTTATACATATTTCCACATTGTGCAACTTCGAACTTCAAAATTTCCTGTAAAGATCTTCTATGAAGGCACAAAAAATTTGCAAATTTAGTCGCAAGTTTCAAGTTACATCGGAAACAGTTTGTGTGTATCACATCTTCATAGTTTCAAGAAACTTCGAATCTCTTTGAAGTTGAGACAATCAAGCACCCATTACTGTCCACGACGCTTTAACAAGAGAAGCTGCTGACGTTACTGAAATTCAGAGTTTGTCACCTTCACTTCCGACATGGTGTCATCTTCCGTGCTGTGGCCAGCCCTCTCCTCCGATATTTTGATCGCTCTGTTTCTCAGAATGCGATTTCTAACCGGCCTCCGCGCTATGTACCTGGTCCCGTCCGCTCTCCTCTTCACTTTCCACTCCATTTGCACCTCGTCGCCCTTGCTCTCCGGCGGTATCCACGAGCTGGACGCGCACACCTGCTGGCTACCGACAAACTGATATCGGGTTAAATTCGGCGCTTGGAAATTACCGTGCGACTTGGACTTCTTCGCGGTGCCACCAGCAGCAGCGACCGCGGTGACGCTGCTGCTCTCCCGAGATCCGCCGATGGTCGAGTTTCTCCGATCAAGCGCCTGTTTAAACAGCTGTTGCTGCAACAGCATCGTCTGCTGAAGATTAGCCATGTTCGTGTACATGGTGTCCGCGGGTAAGTTGCTCGCGTTCGCCGGATCCGCCGCGCGATCTCTGTAGTGATAAGAGCTCGAGCCTCTTTTATTCGACTCTCGGTTTCTCATCTGTCTGTTGGCGAACGTAGGGCACGTGCAGCCGAGCCTCTGCTGTTGCTGCTGTTGTTGCTGGTGTTGCTGCAACGACGCTTTCGGAGGGCAGAGGACCAGCGTGCTCTTGTGATGATCCTTCTCGCCACGTTGCAACTCGAGCGTGAGAGGGTTGCTGTTGCAAGACTCACCGGTATTATACGCGCTCGAGCTGTCCTTCTCCTCGCCGGAGCTATTGCTCTTCGAGGAACAGTACCATCTTCCCCCCGTTTGGTTCCCCTGTTGGTTCGAGGTGTTGGTGTTTGTAGTCGTGATCGTCGTTTGTGCGGTAGTGACGATGACGTTGGAAGTATGGTTCGCATGATGCCACTGTCTGTGATGCTCGTACGGCGAGGAATATATCGGCTCGCTGTCAGACTCTGGTATAGTCTCGTAGATGTGCTCCGTTTCGCTCCACACGTGATTCGAGTAAGCGTCTGCCAGTCTAACTGGAACCGTTCCTCCTCCTCCCCCACCTCCTCCTCCTCCGCCTCCACTTGTCTGCGACTGACCACGTACAGAGAGACCCTCCATCTTCTTCGAGCAATCCTTCAATGCCTCCTGCATCCACTGTTTGCGGTCGTGATCCGCGTGCCGAGCAGGCGACGCGGCGTTTCTGTTGGATGATTTCTGCGAGGTTTGGGAAGAGCAGCTGGAAGAAGGAGTGTTGCTCGCTTGATGCCCGGGCGTGTGACAGGGCACTGGAGGCGGCGGTGGCGGCGGTGGCTTCAACGTACAGTCGTTCTCCTCCGTGTCTTTGGTCCGCTCCTCCGTCTGCTGTTGCTGCTGGCGAATTAGCTGCTCGATCAAGCTGTTCTGGTAGGAGGGCAGATGATCTGGCGAGAGCAGCGGCGAACCCTGGCACAGAGATCGTTCGCGGGGAATTCAATAGGTCTGGAGGATCTACGAGTTTATCTAGCAAACTATCGTACAGGGGAAGATGACTGTCCTACTTACCCGATGGTACGCTCGCCTCTCCTTGTAATCGTCCTCCTACAAGAAGAAAAACGACGAGAAGAAAGAAACGGATTTCGAGAGATTAAAGTGTGATAAGAGGATTGGCGGTTAGACAGAATGGAGTACGCTAGAGTGAATTATTAGGTTGACGTGTGCGAGAGGCGTCGTTTCTTTCGAAGTTTGAACGTATTAACGATTCGTCGGTTGCTAGATAAAATATGCGTTTAGCGTGGGAAATTAATTGCAGAATTTAACAGAATTCGCACATTTAACAATTACAAATATAATTCTGCGAGAATAGAAACTGCAGACTATTAAAAAAATTTAATAATTCTGTACTGCGTATAAATTAATTAATTTGAAAATTGATGCGCCATGGTAGCTTTATTCCACGAAAATTTGAAATTTCAAACTTGATGAATTTTTATTGAACTTGCGATAATAAGTAAAGCTGGCAGATAGTGGACAGAACTGTTCATCGCGGTGTTCGTTTCTTTCAGTAGTATATTTAAAGTCGTTCGCCGTAGTGTACCCCACTGTATCTTGATCGTAGTATCGCCGTACTCGTAGTACATACGTGGAAAAAGATCTTACCTGATAAAGACACCGGCTGACGAGAATGGTCACTGCGCTCTTCGTTTCGGCGAACAGGTTCTCCGTTTGTTCTTTGTTCGCCACGTCCTTTCCATTCACCTGTAACACGAGTAACGTCGTTCCGTCAGGAAATGGTGGTCGCGCAAGTAAATTTCGAAAGGACGGGTCTGTTTTCGTGTTCCGTGAATCGTATCAAGAATTTCTAAGGCTACAGTTACGGTGGACGCATATTGGAGCGCGAATCAGACTAATCGATGAAACTTACACGTTCGCATTGTTATTGTAATAAAATTACACATACGTAAAACAAGTACTAAACGAAGGTATCAAAAGGTAAAGATTTAGTTTCAGAAATTTCGTTATACAGAGTATATTCGGAGAAACTTTTCGGAGAATTCAGGATTCAAATCTCGCAAGTGAGAAAGTTTTATTTGACAAGAGAGTGAAGACGCAGCGAGAAATTGAATATTATCAAGGTTCTATTATTTTATAAGCTTCATTTTTACTAGTCGTGTCTTTACTAATGTCACCGACAGGTGTATAATCTTTAATTGAATAAAATTGGAATGGAAAGATCAAACATTTTAGTTGGAGACATTATATTTGCAAGAATGTCATTGGAAATATTCTGCTAAATTAGTGTTCCTAATTAGTTATTATATGAAATTGTTATATTATTATCTCTGCTACTTATACATAATTATTATTATTATACATACATACATATATATATAGCTCTTCTTCATCGTATTATTATAAAACTAAATTGTTAAGAAACGATATTTATTTTGCAAATTTAAAATTCAATCCGGTGTTCAAATTTACAACAAAGAGACGAAGATGAAAAATTCTGCGTTACTTAAATTACTTCTCACATGAAATTATTGTATTAGTGTCATTACTACTACTTACTACACATAACTCTTCTCCATCGTATTATTATAAAACTCCGTTGTTAAGAAACGATATACGTTTCAGAAATTTAAAACTCAATCAGCCTTCTAACTCGAACGTTCGATTTTCAAATTCGCTTGAATTCACAACAGGAAAAGATGGACAAAAGTTTCGTTCACACGTCTCTCTGTAATTTATACACGTGACAACTCAATATCAATCTCTGGAAAATCGAACTCTTGTATCGAGTATGTACAACGAAGCATACACGTGTCACGCAGATAAAAATTCACTTTGTCAATTTAATGAAGATTATTCGTTATGATAACAATGCGAATTTCGCGCGCAGTACAACCGTAGCCTAATTCCTCTCGAGCGTCGCGAATTTCCCCCATCGTGGAGAGACATTCCTCCGGCGGAGAATCGCGAGAAAAATGTCGAGAATCGAGATGAGAAATCCGTGGCGCGGTGATTCGGTCGTTCTTCCATCCGATTTCGCCCGAGTCACAAGCACTGGAAGCAGTCTTTGTTCCGCGATTACGATCCGTTTAACAAGATTAGAAGGGTAGCAGGTTGGAAGGGAATCGCGCGGTGAGATCGCGACGAAAGAGAGTTCGTTCGTTCGTTCGTTCGTTCGTTCGTTCGTTCGTTCGTTCTCGGCTCTCAGGGTTGTAATCGAATCAACCATCCGTCTCCCTCCGATTTGTAGTCGCGATCTTACGCAACTTACCCTCAAGATTTGGTCGCCCTCGCGCAATCGGCCATCGCGCGCTGCCAGACTTTCAGGAACTATCTCCGAGATGTACACCTCGGTATCGGCGTCCTCGCTGCCGGAACCGGAACTGTAACACACCGTCAGCCCCAGCTTCTCCGCGCTGCCCGTCTTCCGCAACGTCACCTCCTGCAAATCGCGGTTTCGTTGCAAGCTACAAGCTGTCGTCGAGCCGAACGACAGATAACGATAATTCTCCTGGACAGAACGGCTCATCCGAACACGTGGAAATGACATTAGACTCGAGAAAGACTATCTCTTTTCGTTCATCCCTCTCCATACTCTCGGGATATCATTTGTTCGAAAATATCTCTTGGGTCTACAAGCGACGGTATAAATATCTCAACGAACGACATAAAAATATTTCTTCAAACGAGAGAGGGACGCTTTTTGGAAAGATGGACGACGTTGCAAGACTTTCCGGAGAGATGATGGATCAGAATGGGATCGTCTGTTCAGTTCAGTAACACGATATAAAACGTGTTGTCTGTTAATAAAATGAGAAGCTGTTTCAGACAATTTTCTTGAGTTCTCACCTCTAGTGTGTCTAATTTCAAGTGATTGCAGGTGACGTTACCTCGAAGTCGATGTCATGCGCGAGGAAATCCTCGAAGCTGTCGTTCGGTTGCTCGTCAACCACCGGCAGCAGTTCTTCTTCCTCGGCCTCGAGGAGCCCGGCCCAGTCGGTTTGCACCGCGGTCGAGACCAAGTTCGGGCAAGTGTTGATCGCGTTTTCCCGTTTGCCGCCAGCCTCGATCGTTCTCTCCGATTCTTTCTCCGGTTCTGTTCCCCGACTCTCCTGTTCCTTCCATCCGGCACGCTGATTCTGCTGTTGCTGTTGCTGCTGTTGAACTGGCTGTCGCCGCAACACCTCCACGATGATCGGTTCCTGGGCCAATTGGAAGCAACGCACCGCGTCCTCGTGGCTCGAGTTCGATACATCTTGACCATTCACCTGCACGGGAAATTATGATCAATATGCAATCTTCGTCAATTTAAAGTGATTGATGAAATTGTCGATTATGATACGATTATTTATTTTATTTCTACTTTATTGTACGATATTGTATTAAATTATATAATAAATTTATTATTATATAGATTAAATTTATATAATAATAAAATTGATCAAATTTATGTATAAATAAAAATGATCATATTGATAATACTCTAATACTAAATTTATTGAATAAAAATTATCAATATTATTATATTGATGATACTTTAATACTAAATTTATATAATAAAAATTATCAATATTATCATGCTGGTAATACTCTGATACTAAATTTATATAATAATAAAATTTATTAGATTTATATAATAAAAATTATCAATATTATTATATTGATGATATTCTAATACTAAATTTATATAATAAAAATTATTAATATTATTATATTTATAATACTCTGATATTAAATTTATATAATAAAAATTATCAATATTATTATATTTATAATACTCTGATATTAAATTTATATAATAAAAATTATCAATATTATTATATTGATGATACTTTAATACTAAATTTATATAATAAAAATTATCAATATTATTATATTGATGATACTCTAATACTAAATTTACATAATAAAAATTATCAATATTATGATATTTATAATACTCTGGTACTAAATTTATATAATAATAAAATTTATTAAATTTATATACTAAAAATTATCAATATTATTATATTGATGATACTTTAATACTAAATTTATATAATAAAAATTGTCAATATTGTCATATTGATAATACTCTAATGCTAAATTTATATAATAAAAATTATCAATATTATTATATTGATGATACTCTAAATTTAATAATAATAATAAGATTTATTAAATTATCAAAATTATAATATTTATTGATAATACTTCATTATAGTATAATATATAAAGTATAATAAAATATAACAAAAAGTATGGTAAACAAAGTACAATAAAGTAATACTTTATTATATCGAAGTGTTAGCAATTAAATAATGTAGTACTATAGTATTAGAATTCTTATTATTTTATTATTTTATTATTACAAACGTATTATATTATTATTGATACTATATTATACTGTTACATGTCCATACAAGTCAATAGTATTACCGATCATATATCGTCGATATTAAATATTGATACATTTTATGATTCGAATATCAATACCGACGAGCAGAGAGGATACCGATAATAATATTGGATTCACTGTGTATCGATCTAATATTGCGGATCTATATCCGCCGGTGTTGACTCGGCAAACAGTTCGCTCTAGTGGCGGAGGAGGAGCGGAGGTGTAAAACGGATCGATATGGAGCGTCGCATTCCAACATTCGAAACGCGAAACGATCACCTGTTAATTATTCATCTCTTTTGCTTTTTCTAGCTAAATGTTTGATAAATTTTCAAGTGCCCGATTTTCTCAAGAAACGAGGCTTTCGACGAAAAACTTTTCTCCGCATGGAATCGCCGCCTACTCGTTTGTTGACCTTGTATAACACAAATGTTATAGAGGGTCTAACTAATAAACATCCGATCGCAGTGTCGACTGATAACAGACGTTACCGCGCACGTGAATTAAAACCCAACCGGGAATTTGCGTTTGATCGCGAATATCGAGGAGTGCAGGGATCAGGTTGTTTTTTTATGCTCCGGGAATATCAATAGGCGCGATGAGGTCAATTGGCAAGAGTGCAAAGAAAATCGAGCCGGGGCTTGTTCCCCTTTCTTTCTCTTTTTCTCCGTCGAGAGAGACATTTAAATGCAAGACAGCGACGCGATCCGCGCAGCCTCCTCTTTCGAGCGGAACGATGCTCCGCGACGAATTTTCTGTATGATCCATTAATCCGGGCACGGATATTCATCGCGTTCTTGTTCCCTCCGGTTGGCAACCGGAGAGAGAGTCTCGTTACATCTACAAATTTCAGCGATGGCCTAGTAAGCGGCTTTACTAATTGTAAGAGGTTAAACGAAGAGTAGTCTCCAGTAGCTCGTTACTCGTTATTCCATGCGACTTTGTTTCATTGTTTTTTTTCTTTTTTCCTTCTTCGTCGTCGTTCCTCCGCGAACTCGTTTCTCTTGATCGTCGCTCACTTGTCCCAAATCGGGTCTTGAGATGAATTCGTTCGTGTGAGACTTTGTTCCAAAGGAAATTTTGTCTTACATCATATATGTGTGTGTGTGAATACGCTGAGAAACGCGAATGTGAGACTTCCGTTCTTAAGAAATGATTTTCAAGAAGATCCGAGGGAACGTATATACAACGTGCAACATCCTCGTCTTACGAATGTTTCAATTCTAACCCTTTCGATGGAGAAAGTTGAATACGAGCGAGCCATGTTATAAAACTGATGCGACGGCTCGATGGCTAGATTTGAAAGAAGTTTGATCTCTTTGAGGCACAAATTTTTAAAATAAAAGGAATGCCCTAAATGAAGACATAGATTGTGAACTTTATGTTAGTAAAATGTAGAACGATGTATTAAAAATATATTAAACTGGTATGTTGAAATACATATATTTCAATTGATGATCGCAAAATTTAAAAAAATATACTTAACTCCTTTGCTGTGACGGACGATCTCGTTTAGGGACGAGATATCTCGTCGTACGTGTGTCGATTATGGGATGCTATAAACGAAATATTTCGATATTTCTAATGATTCGGATAAAAATTTAATTCGTAATTGATAAAACGTTTATTGTTAATATTTTTAATTATTATTAATATTATTAATATCATTATTATTATTATAAACATTATTTATTATTAAATATATTATAATTATTATAAATATTAATAATATTAATATCATTATTATTATTATAAACATTATTTATCATTAAATACATTACAATTATTATAAATATTATATTAAATTTTTACATTATAAAATATTAATAATATATTAACATTATTAATATTTATTTATTAATATTTTATAATATAAAAGGGACCGATAATCTCATTGGATGTGATGTGTCGAGTTGCCAAAGTAATTCGAAGTCACTTTTGAAACCACAATGATAATTAAAAAGAAACTCAGAAAGGAGTACATCAACGACTGAGGTTTCAATATTCTTTTGTTAAAAGTTACCAAAACGATAAATCGAAAGGCATCGGGACAGAAGCATCAGCCTTTATCTCACACCTTTTTGAAATCAACAGACTAATAACAGAGCGGGCCGATCTCTGCGTCGCCCGCGGCGAGAATGTTAAATACACACGCGTGCCAGTTTAAAGTGGAAGTTAATATTAAAAGCAGAGCTTCGAAACTCGAGAGAATTATTCACCTCTTGAAAATAGATGTTTCAGTGATCTAAGAGTCGAATCAAGTCGCCCTTTGAAAATCAAGAGAGCTTTGTAGTGGAAAAAATGATGTTCCGCAATTCCATCTTATTTTGTCACGTCTCTCCCTCTCGATGGTACCCCATCGATTACAAGCCATCTTATATATTTCACCTTCACCGGGGCGCAAGTTTTTCTCGGTTCCCCGACAAAGTTGTACAGCGTCGTTTGTCATAGTCGTCGTCGTCGTTCGACATATCGTTTTCAATAACTCATCGAAACATTTTCTCGACAGGATGTCTCGAGCGAGAATTTAGCGCACTTTGCAATAGAATACCTGAGAATGAGATATTGATGCAACTTGCATCATGCAAGGTGGTCGTGATGCAAGAAACATTATTTTGCAAAGAAAGTGACACAATAATAAAAAATAAAACGCGAACGATCGAAATTCAGATATTAAAAGTACGCGTGTGTCCAAATGGGTGTGACTATTAATATTATAAACTATTATATTAATATTCGACCAAAAAGGAACAGATCTTTACACGAACGATGATGCTTCGTAGTTTCGGATATATCGCGTAGAAGAATAGCGAGTTAACCGCGCCGGCAACTGATTGCGGACCATAACGAGTGACCGTATACAACCGTATGCAATAATTCGTCGCTTTCTTTTTGAACTCGTCGACATCATATGATATCAAATTTATTATTTGTTTTGCCTGGATTATACTTAAATAATACTTGAAACTGAGAAAATATTGCAATTTTGGGGCAAAATATTCTCGACGTGCATCATTCCAGCGCGAGAAGTTAAACAACAGACTGTTTCCAATGGCAAAACCAATATGAGGCATTGATTCTCCGACGATCCAGACGATGGATCGCGAGAGAGAGAGAGAGAAAGAGCGGAGGGCAACAGCCGCCACTGATAATACCTCCTAATCACCGAATAATTGCCAGAGAAAAGCAAAGGAAAAACGAAAGGAACGGAGTCGTTTCGACGCCAAGAAGTCGGTCTTTGTAAATTCTCGATCGATAGTTTACTCGGTTGTTCGTTCGTTCGTTCGTTTGTTCGTTCGTTCGTTCATTCGTTGGTTCTCTCAACTACCCAGTCGCTCGTCCTTTCGTTCCATTAGTCACGGCCGAAGGATGCTTTCGACCGTTTTACGGAGAACACTCGAGAGCCCCTCCTTTTTATTCCTCGTCGAGGAAGCGATCGACGCGTCTGCGTTTCGTCGAATCGTTACCAGATACCCTCCCCTCTGGCTCGCGTCTTCCGGTCACGGTAATTTCACTCGAACTGCGATCCGAAACTGATTACGAGCGTCGATCGATCAATCAGTGGCGTGTCTGAAATTGAAAATTCCAGGGCGAGGCTTGCAATTTCCGCGGGACACGGGAAACAAGTTCGCGAGGTCATAGTTTCGAAAACAGTTTGCGTTTATGCGTCAATTGAAGTTTGTCGATTTATGTAAAAAAAAAAAAAAAAGAAAAAATGAAGAGGGAAAAAAATTTTTATAAAAGTTTAAAATGATAATATCTCGACAGTGAAAGCACGTGATAGTGACATCCGTATAAACTAGCAGATATTCGATTGCTGCTTAGATGAGATGATAAAGTTCGTGATGTGCAGTGAAGAGCCATGACTGAACCAATAACGATGAAAGATTGTCGATA